AAATTCGCAGCTTTAACTTCCAGCCCATGGAAACTCAGCAACATCCTGTGTTGCATTGATGTTGTCGTGATGTGGCAGTGGCGTCTGCAGGCAATCACGTGGAAGAACGTCACAGGCTGTACCCTTAGCTGTCAATGTAGCTTTGTGGCAAGATGCTACATGCTTCAAACATATGGGAATTGTTGACCATGCGGTTTAAAGGATCGCTAAAGATCGGTCACAGCGGATGCAGAGACATGGCAGTGCTTGCCAATCCACTTTCAGCTTTGGCCCAGGTGCCGACATGTCTGCGTGGAAAGGAGGAGGCTCCGAAGCAGAGTCAGCGAAGAAGAAGCAGTTGCAGCATGTTCCGTACACTCCACAGGCCCAGAGCGGCACAAATTTGGCGGCCGCATGCTGGTCTTAGTCACGGATCTCAGCATACCCAGTTGACCAAGCAAACTCTCAAATGCAGGAAGGCTTACTACAGTACAGAAACCTGTGACATTGCACGAAAGGACAGTAGACACATGTCAGGCTTCAGACATACAGCTGCCAGTCACAGACAGATGTGAGGTGAGACAAGCAGGTGGCCAAGGCCTGGGCATTTTGATTTCTGTGAGCCGGTTCTGCGGCTCTGACATGCTTTGCCGCTGTGGAATCCCGCGCGAGGGATCATTGATGCATAGCCTCATCCGGAGCTTGGTCTTCCCTCCTGCCCTTTTGTAAAAAGTTGCGCTGCTTTAATGCGGACATTTCAGCCATCAATCTGCATTTCTGTGTCAGGCTCCGGTGCCGAGATAAGTCAGCAGATACAATCTGTGGCAGATCACGTTAAAAGCCTGAGCGGGTATATGATGCTGCCGTCTCAGTTTCTCTTGAAGTTGTTGGGATGCCACCGCAGTTAGTGGGGAGATTGCCACAGGTCCGGAAAGGCAGTTGTCTGAGCCTCAAAGACTGCAGAATGCCACGCCTGCAGCCGGCTTCACCTTGGAAAGCAAGTGGCGTTTTCGCGAGGTTGCTTCCACAAGCAGCGCGCAATCGACAGCTGCGGCGTTGGCTGGCAAGTTCAAAACCGCAGCTCGCATTCATTGGCATGCCATGGAAAAAGCTGTAGCTTGTGAAGCATTGGCCAGCCCTATAGCAGTGGTTAAAGGTGCCGCAGCTCTTTCCAGATAGCATCGCGGAGCATCCGGAGGCTCTGCCAATGCTCTTCGTGCTGCTACTTTTGAGAAGCCTGGTTTCCTGCGCTGTGTCGTTACTCAGGCGGGCTTTCTGCAATTTTTCCAGGCGCCCGAAGAAGGTCCATGGCTTACGGTCAGGTGAAAAGCCACGGTTGTAGGTGCAGCGAGAGCGCAGGCACAGAGAGTAACACAGGACGGTCATTCTTCGGGCTGTGCTAGCGTTGCTGAAATGGCTTTTCTTCACGTGGTATGGTCGCAGACCGGTGCCCAGAGCTGCCAGCCCGAACAAAGCTAGCAGAACTGGCAGAGTGCGAGGATCCCGCGACACCGTCATCATTGTCGCCGAGGACGGAATCAAAAGCGCTTCGTATGCTACGGGGATTCGCAATGATTTGTTGCAGAACCGCACTTTGTCCATGAACAGACGGCGAGGACACACTGCTCCTTTACATGCTGCTGCGATCCCTAGGGATGCCTCTCGGCTTAAAATTTTCGGAGGTAAGCCGGGGATGGTTCGAGGACAGGGGACAGCAGTGCTCCCACCGCGTGGCACGATGCCGCCCCGCCACAGTACTACAGCACATGAGATTCGCAACACAGTTCCGCATCTTCGAGGCAGGGAGCCTCAAGGCAGCAAGGACCATGTCGAATTCTGAAATGCTGTTCTTCGATTGATCCAGTAGATCAAGCTCACCTATAGATAGTTTACCGACAGCTACTGCATGGAACAAACTTTGCAAAGCATCAATGCTTGCTTACTCAACCAACCGTTGGGGCAACACTTCGATGGTTTACACGGTTTGCAGGCAAAGTCCATGCAAATCTAACGCCAGTGAAATGTGCCGAAACAAGCGCCATGTAGCAAAATGCAGAATGTATCTTGGCTGCGGCAACAACAGGAAATTTTCATCGCTTAAAGCTGAGTTGGAAGCTTTGGAAGCGGCAGTGGTGTCATGGGCAGCAATCATGAAAGGCTTCCGCCTCACACAGTTCCCGATCGTCAGCATGTATGTAATTGCAACGTCAGCCTGCAGGAATCGTCCAGTCAATGTAGCTTGCACTAGAGTTCGAGCATATGCATCCAGGTCGGCCGAAGAGTCAAAGGCAGCGTTGCCTTTGTACAGCATCGGTCACGGGTGCGCTCCCCAGAGCTGATATGCCTTGTCTGACATGTGCCGTGAGGGCATAGACTGATGGGCCTGTAACATGTAGCGTCCTTCTACATGTGAGGGGCATGACGGGAGCTGAGCTTTTGTTTGCTTTACGATCTCGGGCCAGGTCAGTGACACTGGTAAATCTCAGAAATGATGGCACCACCAAAGTCGTGGGAGCTGCTCGGCACAGTCTAGAGAACCTTGTCCTTCTTTGCTAGGGCAACTTCGCGGTCGTGTTGGCGTCGGCTACAGGTCAGTTCTTTCGGTGGCAGCTTGGGTGGGAGGTCTGCCACCCGAAAGTGAAAATGCCTACAAAAGGAATCGGCAGACCACGAAGTGCAAGCTGTGTGTACCAAGCCTGGCAAGCAGAAAACAGCGGGAGGCAGGGAGGGACATAAATTCTGTTGGTGTTCGCAACCCAAGAGAAGCTTTCACAACAGACTTAAAGACCATACGGTTTAGGCTGTCTCTCTAATTTGTCGCGTCGCTACCTTCTTATTCAAACCTGTAGCCCCCCGAACCAGGCCACCTACGTCCATCTCATCTTCGACGTCTAACATGCCAAGTGTCTCCACAAAATTGGAGCAAAGAACCTGTAAACGGAACAAGGTTGTACCATGGAGCCTGATGACCGGTCGGTGCTTGAAGATTATATATTGTGATACTCTGTTTCGGCAGAACGGCTGATTGCACGATGCCTGCGTCTCCTGAATAGTACAATGAGGGTCGTCGGCGAAGTCGTCCACCGCTGACGATCACCACTTCCAGTTGGCTTTGTTCATTTTTTCGGTGCGTTGCATTTGGAAGTCTGTGGCTTTGTTCCCGTGTTCCAGAATCTTTTTCTGGAGCTGTTTGGTCATACTCCTCGCAGTGACATATCGCTTTTTCTGTGCCAGCACTTACCGAGTCGTGTCTAATTGAACACACGGCATAAACAAGCATTTACGACATTTTACGACTTCTAAAACCTTTCAATCCTTAAGATCCAACTCCCAACCCAGTTTTAGAACCAGTTGAATGTTCTACGCATAACGTGCACACGGCTTAATTGAAGCGAAGATTTGTGGCAGAACCTCATTTCCTTTGTCGTTTGTGTATTGCGGCATGTCTTTTCGACTTCCAATAAGCCTAGAGCGACACTTCAGAAAAGTAGGAGCAGTGAGAGGGAACTAACCCTCTCAGGACTCGTCGTACTCGTCGACACGGGAACGAAGTTCCACTTAGGACTTCGTCATGTCTAAATCTCTAAAACGTAGTTGGGCGCCGCTAAGACATGTCGACTGCACGCTGAAATATTGCAGCTTCTCATAACACAAAAAGTTAGCGATAATGACACTGTGCGAGACAAGCAAGGTTTCGAGTTTCGGTCAGCTCGTTTTATCCGACTGTCGATGAGCTACATGCGAAGGGTTCCTGGACAAGCAATGTTTCACTAAAGTTGAGAAGCTTGGTCAGATTATTGCGATAGCACTTGAAGACAGCTTCGAAAATCCCAAGCCTGTTATGTGACTGTGAGACCTGAACCGAAGCGCTGCGCTTGGCACTGTCCGAGTGTGAGAGGCCAAGCCCCAAAGCAATTATGGAGTAATCCTACCGAGTTTATGAGCTCGCTCTCCATACACCTCGCCCGGATTGCCCAAGCTGTGAGAATGGGTCGGAGAACTGGGGCTGAAATAAAAAACAAAAATCTATCAGAAGAGCTGGGACTGCCACCGGCGGGCCCTGCAGAGAAGAAAGGGAAAGGAAGGAAGAGAGCCCAGTTCGAGGTTGGTGACACGTACCACCTGCCCTTCGACGCCATTCCTAGCTGAAACGGCATCGTTAGTTTGTGCCGTGCTCGCAGAAGGCTGGATCAAAGAAGGTCTGCCTCAAGCAAGCCATGCAGAATAGAAGGCTGATGATGCACAGCTCCTGCTTTGGCAACTGCAGCTAATCCGGCTCTCTGAGTGCCTTACATCTTAGAGCTTAATTTGATGCTGAGCGCAGTTGCCAAGTTACAAGTCAAGCTTGCTTACCAGCGAGGTGGCTGGCATGTAGCTAGCTGGTCGTAGCTTGCGTGTACTTGCGCCGGCGCCGGCTGGTGCCGAAAAGCAAGGTGCCGCGCAGCCTGCTCACACCGGCAACAAAACGGAGTAACCCAGGCTGGTCAACAGACGTCTGCGGTTCTGAATACAGCCTGTCCTGCCAGCCCGCTAATCCATCAGAAAGCGCCATCATTCAGTTCGTTCATTGGGAATAACGCATGAATAACGACCTGGTGTTCAGGGTCTCTATGCTTCGGCCAGGTGTGTCACACACCCATGCCTCAGTAGGAGGTTAAAGAGGCCGGTTCTTTTGCTAGGTTGAGGTCGCCGAGAGGGGCACTAATCGTGCAACAAACATGCAAGTTCGGGTTACTGAAAGGTTACTGAGTCATCCAGGGCTGGAGTATAATTCGTTGCTTGCGTCGACGGCCATCAGCATCGCAAGCGGCTGGCTGATTCTTCGTCGGGGTACGTCGGCGTATTCATGAACTTCCGCTGCCTATCCCTTTTCGGTTCAAGGAGGGAGTGGCTATGGCTATGGCCCGCGCGAGGTAGCTGCTGCCATGGATTTGCCCAAAAAAGCAGCGGAACTGAAGCAATATCTTCGGAATGCAAACTTGCCCGAAGAGTTTGCACGTCATTGTCTTCGCACTCTGCAAATGGGCTCGCTGGAAGACTTCGTCTCGTATGTGAGCAGTTCCAACTACGAGGCGGAGCTCAAGACGCGAGTTGTGGACACGTGCGCTGCCACTAAAGGCAAACCACTCATCCTCGCGAGGGTGAGGTCTGCTTGGAGGTCTGCCAGAGCCTCTTTGCAAGGTTCGGGGCTTATGTGCTTTGAGCCGCGGTAGCAGCTGCTAGCATGGACACACCGTGCACGGGAAGTGCTCGTCCTGGCAAGGCCCAAAGTCGTCTCGTATTGCATGGATGGAGAGCGCCGAGCTTAGCGAGCTGTCCAAGGACAGGGGCAAGATGGAAACACCCTGTACCCTGAAAAGGTCATTCTGTCAAGCAGTCCCGCCCAAGTGCAGGGTAGAACGAGACCCTCACAAACTTGACCACAGGACTCGGAAGTGGTTGACTGTGACATTGGCTCCCTGATCGCGCAGCTCCAGAATTACGTATTTCGCCGGCGAGTGCGGATCAAGGAGATGCACATTGTCGAAACCATGCACTAAAAACTCTCCAAACGGCACTAGGGCAGCAGCAAGAGCAATGCCACCTGTACCGGCGATGGAAGAAGGGCAAGAAGCAGCGGGCGTAGCAGCATGAGAACTAGTACCAGAAGCGCTGTGCTGCGGTAGCGAATTGTCGTCGTAATGTGGCAGTGGCCGTCGTCGTCGTTTGTGCACACATAGTCGTCCTTGCGATGATGCATCGTACCTGGAGGTATCACAACCAGTGAGCTGCCTAGGCAGAACGACGAAACAAGGTTCTGGCACCAATTGCCTGACTTCGAAAGCCCCTCCAGCTTCCGCTGCAGCCATCATCGTTTGCAAAATCGGAAAATGGCAGGATGCGTTCAGGGATTTCGATCTGGCACGGACCAGCCGTATCACGAAACCGAATTTCGCTCGCGTGCCGATCTCAGAACGATTTGTGGAATGCCGGACGTGCTGTGGGCTGTGCAGGATGTGCTCTCTGTGAGGCCCTTTGTACTGCGGCTCCAATTCTGAAGCCGTTTGAAGTCGAAGCTCTAACCGACTCTTGGCCGAAGCAGAGCAGGTTGCCTTACGTGCTGTGCGAGCAACGAGCAACTTGAAGGGTGAAGCCGCGGGCGGGGAACGCTGGCTCAGGAGCACTTCACCGAAAGCGGGCTTCAGGTCCCTGTGGTTTGCTTCGAGTGGGTTGTTGCTACAAAAAAGGTGCATTAAGCGGTTCGGATGTGTGCCGTCACTAGGCTCTGAGGACGTAAGACCTAAGAAATTGTAGGTTTGCTGGCAGGTTTGCTGGCCGCGGGTGGTGAACTACACACTGTTTTGCTCAGCCCTGAGGAAAGGCTTGCTCTGTCGCTCTGTGACAGGTCCCAACAGATCTGGCAGGGACTGGCAGGGTATGTCTCTGGTGGAAGGGTGGATGCAAGAGTGGGCAGGCTGAATGAAGACAGCTAAGGCCAAGCGATAGACGACATTTTTGGCCCTTCCAACTTGGAGAAAGCTCCAAAGCAGAAGGCCTGGCCCAGTCTCAGAAACAAACACATCTTCTGATGATGACTGCCCTCGTAGAAAACATCCGTAGATCGGGCGCAGGTGCCATATCCTGGAGAGAAGCTCTTCTCTGCCGAGTGCTCAGACACGTGGAGCGTGTTTGGTCGCAAGAGTGAAATGTACAGTTTCTCGGTTGCTGAGGCAGGAGGCTATTTCAAGCCGAAGTCAGCCTCAGGGGATGAGGCTATAGATCCCATGCAGACAGGGAAGCCCCAGGCTAAGACGCCCTGTATTGCAGGAGCTGCGCGTGATCTTATACAGAGCCAGGGCCCCGAAGCACGTCTGCAGAACTGTTTTGTCATGCAGGGGGTTTAGTCCCAAGACGCTAGCTGGCAACATGCCATATCCAGCCGGAAGCCGAGAGAAGTGTGGCCGAAGTCAGGTCGCAACTCTTTGCAAGACACGAGGAGTTGAGCTTCACCCTCAGTCGGGAGTACGAGCGTCAGTGCTAGAAGCCGCATGGAACTCTTGCCGCTTCCTCCTGCCCGCCCGATTTGCAGGTTTGCCAGCTGCCTGCGTGCCCGCGTGGAAGCTGAGCATCGTGGCATGCAGTTCCGGGTGAAAGCCCCCCAAAACAAAAGCGAACATGACCCTCCAGCTTCATATTCACACACACACACACAACACAGACATTCCAGCCTTTCGTGCCCGCCTGCCTGCAGGAGGACCGCTTCTGCTTTACAGCAGGTTTGAACGCAATCCTTGCATCACAGAATTGCAGTCCTGGAGCCCGAAACCTTGGGTGGGCGCTGTCGCAGGCATCCCCGCGGAAGTGGCAAAGTGACTGCGGCAGTGCTCTTGCGCCGCTTTCCCTTCATGTCCGGCACCTACTCGTAGAGACTTGCTCGTGGCTTTGTCGATGACTGATCATCGAGGGCCGAGTTCAGCGAGAACGACATGTCCGTGCTCCTGCGCCGATACTCTGACGAGAACGGCGTACGGGGCTCGTCATTTCCAGCTGCCTCAATCGAGGCAGTATGAAGGCGAGGTTTGCCAGGCATGACTGCAACAAGCTCCGTGATGGCGATTGTCTGAGACCGTGCACCTCCACTCCCTGGAGACGGATGTCCAAGACATCATGGAGGTGTCAAGTTGCTCTTCGCTGCTTAGCCAACAGCCAACACACAGTACATGCCCCTCCAAGCTTTTGACACGCAGCGCGGATGGCTCGTCTGCTGCATGCAGGTGAATCGAGCAGAAGAGCAGGCAGCAGGCGGGCAGCACCTTCGCTTGGCTTGCCGTTGAGCTATTGCTTTTCATTTGTTCAGAGTCACTGTGGTTCGACCTCCCAAGCGAATTGCACACGGAGAAGCCGAAGAGGTGTTTACAGCGATGATGACGATATGGACGACGCACTCTCACGAAGTCAGGCTGGGCTGGCTGATGAAGGGGGGTTGAAGAGAGCTCAAGGTCAGAGGCGACTCAGCTCAGCATGTACCGGTAGGCTCTAAACGCTTCGCTCGGTTTCAGGAGTCGCCTTCTCCATCGTTCGAGGCCCCGAAGGCAACACAAAAAAACGGAAGGAAGCATCTTCTGCCACTGGTCTTCTTGTCAGGGTGCTCAATCCCCAAGAAAGGGCCGAAGGGCCACGAAATATGTCGCCGTTTCCTCAGGAAAGCTTCACAGGTGCACGGATCATGCTGAGGGCTGGTGCTGGTGGTTTGTTCCACTCGAAGCCAGACCGATAAGAGCCGAACAGCAAAAGTCGAAATGCAGCCTTTTGCACAGCAGACGATCTCAAATGCGGAGTCTACTAGCATTGCAGCACAGCATGAACTGCTCGATGGAAAACTCTGTATGGATGAATGGACGGATGGATACAAGTGTCAGCGAAACTACTTTTCTGTCCTGGTTTAGCATAACTCTCGCACTCTTCCGTGGCATCCAGAGCCAAGGTTTCTGCAAGACCATGGTCACGGCAGCGGAGTCTCGGCAGAAACCTTCAGGTGCAAATCAAGGGTCGGTGGTGTTCTTGATTGCGAAATGTAAAGAAGCTGAGGCCTCCAGAACTGCAAGAAGAACAGCCGCGCACGATCAGGCTTGGCTGCAGTGGAAATGCAAGATACAAAGCAAAGCCAACCGAAACTTCGAGTTGAAATAGCAGGTTTTCAAAGATCGCTTCCGCTTCCAAGCTCGCAGGATTAGTGCGTAGCAGCGCTTGTTGCCGGCTCGCTCAAATTCCCGCTCCTTAACGTCTTTGCATAGGGGTTGTTCAGTTGCGACCTACTTCTACCACGATCCGTAGGTTACATTTGAAGAGCAAGGCCACAAACCGCTCCATCGAGACGTTCCAAGCGAGCAGTGGCCTTGGCAACTAGCACTTTGTAGAGATGCTTTGTGTGTGTGTGTGTGTGTGTGTGTGGCTTGGTTTCTTCTGTGTCACACTGAGTGTAAGCGTGACGATGATGGAGGCGATCAAAGCGAAACTGTCAATACAAGTGTGACTGATGTCGCTGGATGTTTTGATGCGGGCGATGTGATTAAGCTTGGGTGTGCGACTGTACTAACATACCTAAAGCTTGTACACATTTTCGTCGCCCAAGCATCCTTGTTGCTCTGCCGCGGAAGAATTCCTGAAATCGTATCAACATAGTATCGAAATCGTGAAAATAATCATTCCTGAAAACGGCTGCTTCCCACGACTCTGGGCGTCTCAATGCTAGTGCTAGTGATGCTCCTGTCAGTGTTAGTCGCAGTCGCCGGTGGAGGACGGGGAGCAACGGTTGCCGGCAGCAAAAGCAGCCAGCCGAAGAAGTTGTTCGGATCGCTGGCTCGTGTTGTTGCTGTGGCAGCGACGTGAAAGGTGCAACAGCAAGCATTGTATGTATTGTGCTGTATCGTAGAAGCACCCACCTATCAACAGCTCCTGTTCAGAAGGGGCCATAAGTTTCCAGTGGTCCAGTGAGCAGGCCGATATTAAAAGACCAGCAGGATGCTGCGTGAGTGCGTCGGGGAGCAGGAGTTGTCGACGGTATGTTGGGGACACGGATTGTTCGTGGAATTTCGTTGCAGCATCTCGGCACGCAGATACTTTACGCTACTAAGCCCCAATCTGGGATCGAGTACATGTGATTCCTGCCATGGTTGTGGTCTTCATTTCATTGATCGCAGCTGTGGTGGCTTCTTCTGACTGTGGTGCGACCTGCCACAGGCCTCGATCTGGCCGTGGAATCTCTCTGTTGCAGGCCTCTCGCAACAAGTCAGCCGTTGCACCGGCGAATTCCTCGAATTCCTCGAGCTCCTCCCTTGACGATGCACTGGCTGCCGCGGAAGCTCTCGGCAACGCTACAGAGCAGGCTATTTCAGGAAGTGGAGCTGCCACGAGTGGGGGCAGCACAGCTTTCCAGAATCTGAGCAGTCCTGAATCGGCGTCTGTGAACTACTCTGAAATCATCGTCGACAATGAAGATCAGCCAGTCCTGCGACCGCCATACACACAACGACAGAACAAGACCAGTCCCATCATCAAGCCAATCAAAGGTGCAACTCCAATCCCGGAGCCTCAGGCAGACAACATCACTGGCGCAATGCGGGATTGTTTGTTGGGAGAGTGGAACGAGTGGTCCGAGTGTATGTCGGATGGGGCTTCAGGCTACGAAGGCCCACATCAGATCAGGCGACGGTCTATACTCCAGCCCTGGGCCCCCGGAGGCCTCAAGTGCGGCTCAACGGAGGAGAGTCAGGGATGCAACTTAATCAGTGCAGCGAGCACCATTGTGAATCTGAATGGCTGACTCGAGGGTTCCCACAAAGCATACCGGCTGCCGGTTGCACAGAAAAATCTTGATCAGTGCAGGGCAGGGTTTCCATTGCTGCCGCACTCCGAGTGTTTTGCGTTCCTGGGCACATGTTCGGTGATAATCGAGGCTAACATCTCCTGCCAGGAAGCGGTGCACTGAGCATGTTGTTTCAGAACCCATGTTTGTACGTACGTCCTGTTTCTCCCTCTTTTCATGGGATTCGCAGCTTCAGCCCAGTCAGGTCTTGACAAAGATCGGAGCGCTGTCGAAGAAGCGCTGTTTCAGGCCAGCGCTCTCGCATTCTGAAAGGGCGGCGGTTTTGCATGTAAAAACGTGCGCATACCCATGCGCATCTGGTGTGTTCCCCTCCTCCATGCTGGAAGTACCACTCCAAATTCAAGCATCGCCAAGCGGCGCGACTGTTACTCCTGCGGGTCACGTGATATGTGGTTTCTGAGAGTCTCCAGCCTATAATATTGACTCATGCCTATCATTGAATCATCCTCTGCCTCCGCGCCGATGTTATTAGGCCCTGCAAGGGGGCGGGGGAGACCCGATCACATGTAGTGATCAAACTCATCACAATCCTGTGCGTGGTCTGCAGCTTGGTCCCTTGCAGGCTGAAGGAAGCCTTCCGCGACTTTGACCGCTTGCGCAGGGGTGCCAGCAGCTGAGAAAGAGCAACTGCAAACTCGATGTGTTTGCCAGCTACCGGTTGACCAGCTGGTGTCCGAAGGTTGTGCCCTGCTGCCAAATGCGTTCTGCGCATGTGCCTCAGTGCGGGTCAAAACAGTTTCGCCGTGTCAGAAGCCACAAAGCAGCAGCGACAAGTTTTGCCCTTCGAATTGCAATCCGACAATCGGGCCTTGTTCAAAGCCGAGCATGCTCAGAATATCTTCACCCCAAAATCCGCATTCTGCCTCCCGACTGTCTTCACAAGCTAGTGCTTAGATCACCGAGGCTAGCAATTGCCGGGCTGGATCTGCTCGCCGCAGAGCGTGGGTCTTAATGTGAAATCTACGTGACTTCCACCTTGCCGCTGCAACGCAACCTAAACCCGATGCAAGTGCTAAATCCAATGCCATTCCTGTAGCTAATGGCAGTAAAAGCAATTACAAAATCGAAGGCCACATGGTCAACTCGAGCCGAATAGCTGCCTACACGGCCCTTTGCACCTAATTCCGGAGAATGTGCATGCTTCAAAAGCAGAGATCACGGAGCATCTCCATGCTCCGGTCTTCATCGACTGTTCGATGCATCAGACAACCTGACAGCGCTTAAATCCAGAGCTAGAGAGATATTCTAAGATACTTGAACCGGAGTGTGCTAGCAGATGTGGGGCCAAACCCCCCAAGTGCAGACCTAAATGGCTGGCATGGTCGAAGCAGGAATTGGTCGAGAGGAGAAATTCTCGTCACCAGGATTCGGAACTCCGCTGTAAAGAGGCGGTAGTGGGAGTCGAACCCTGCCTTCTATTGGCCCATCAGGCTGCAAGTGCTTGAAGACAGATACAGCGCCCCAGGCCCAGGCCGAAGACACGGAGGGTTTGGGTCTGCGGCTTCGCATTCGAGAGTTCCTGGCAGCCCTGCAGGCGATAGCAAAGACGACCCCAAGACGTACTTTCGCTACGGAGACTTCTGTGCTGACGTGTCCTTGAAGGAGGCTCGCTCGCGTTCCCTCGCTGTGTCAAGTTGTGCCTTTGCAAGCGGCGATGGATGGCGCACGGCGCCATGCCGCAAAGTGCATACCGCAGGCCCCGAAGCAGATAAGCGACAGCGGCAGGCAGGCTGTTTTCAGTCAGCGAGTTTGGAAATGTCAGACTTTCTCTTCCGAGGATGGCCAGCAGCGCGCCCTTGACGAAGCTCATAAGCACCATCAAAGCAAAGGCCCGGCCCGGCCCTCAGCAAGAAAGTCAACGGACGTGTGCGGTCGATTTCTGAGTGTCGGACACATAGTTGAGCTCCTGCGTAATTTTCCGGTTTAGACAGGTTTCTAGTTTCGTGCGACCTCCGTGGTCGCAATTCGTGCAGGCTGAATCGATTTGTTGCTGCTGCCTGTCAACTGTCGACACGTTCAATAGTTCGGTACCTCCTTGCCTCCACGTGTCGACTGGTCGACGAGTCTGCTGTCCACAGTTGTTGCCATCACGAAGCTCTCAAGGCAAGCAAGTGAATTTTTAAATACTTGGGGCAGTTGTTTCGATTGGCGAGCAGCAACGGTGAAAAATCACAAAAACACTTTGCAAAGTGTCGCTGGCGTTGAGCAGACCTTCCTCACCCTCCGCCTCGCCCTCCCGAGGACCAGGAGGTTGGAACTCTTCAGTGCCTTCGCTGACAGGCCCAAGCGTGCTTTCTGCAAGAAGCTTTCGGTAGGGAAGTTGTCTTTCAGGAAGTTACAGATGTCGAGATTGCTTACGCGGGAACACGACTCGCAAAGCACGCGTTCCACCCTCCAGGAGCAGCGGCAGTGTCGCTGGCCGTGTCCGCAGGGGCCCTGCGAGGGCGTATTTGTTCACTCCCTTTTGTTTGCTTTTCCTGCTTTTTTCCCTTTCGCGTTGGTCCCCTGGTCGCGCGGTCCCCTGGTCCCTTGGTCCCGTGATCCTCTGTTCCCTTGGTCTTCTCGGTTCCCTCGTCTTCTGGTCTCCTCGTCCCGTGATCTTCTTGGTTGCCTGGTCTTCTGGTCTCCTGCCCCGCCCCCTGTCTTCTGGTTCCCTGGTCTGCTGGTCCCTAAATACGGTGGTAGGCAAGTCGGCCACTCAAGACTAGCGACTGCCATGACCGAGGCCGAAGTGCTTTGCTTCGGGTGATGCACATGTTGGGATTCCCGCTGACAGACGCTTTGCTTGAAGAAGACCTCATTGCCACAGTCGTAGCGGGGTTGGCATACCCGCGTACGACAGCCAGATTCATCTACACGTGCATCTGAAACAGAAGGCTTCTATCTGCAGCAGCTCAGGATCTGGAAGTTGACTTGCTCTGTGGCGCCTTCAGAGCTCGCCCCAGCTTTCGCTGCCTTAGGCTTCGGCTACTGTAAGTCTGTACGTCGCTGCGGGGCCAGGGCGCAGTCCGCCCATGAGAGAGAGCACTATTCCAGGCGACGACATGGGATTCAACTACTTGCGCTTCTGTTCAGTCAACACCTTATGCTGATGCCCACTCGAGCTTGGCATCTCTGCCATGAAATGGTTTTAGCTGCTGAAGACCGCTCTTGCTTGCTCCTTGAGGTCGTGGACCCCTTCATGGTCAGAAGCTCGGCGGTTGTGCGATTTGCAAGGTTGTGCCGTGGGAGATCTGTTTGCGTTGGAGGCTCGGGCAGACGAAAGCAAGAAGGCTGGGCAGCCACCTCCGCGCCCCCCCCAGATAATGCCCAGCTCTTCCAGAATTATACCAATGCCATGAGCTGTGGCAACCGAGGAGCATCTACTTTGACTTCGCCGGTCGAGTTGCTGCAGCCTCAGATGCGGCTTCCACACGGGCACAGGGCAGTGTAGGATGAAGTATGGAACAGCCCTGCGATTTGCCATGTAGTTCTGACTATGAAAATCAAGGTGCCACATCCAAGTCTGAGCCGGCCTGCATCAGCGCCTCAACTAAGGAGGTGATGCCAAGGGTGCACGGCGAGCCGGGTAGTTTTTCTGACTCGCCGTGTAAGTCAATGAGTAGAGGCAGCAGGCACCCTAGATAACTACCCGCAGGGCTCGCTGTATGACTGTAGGTTGGTCGCGAATACCGCGTTCCAGTACATATCCGCAGGCTGGCCATTTTCTGGAGTGTCAAGAACTCTTGAATTGGGCCGGGTCTGTCTTTGCCGGTGGTCTCCATTGCGACTCACTGGGATGCATGTTTTCAACATGCCTCAACAAGAGGCAGTGCGCCCAGCGCGCGCTGAGGGCCCGGACTCAGGGATCTCAGCTGTAGTTTGCTTAGGATAAGGGGAATTCGGAGGAGCTTTTCAAATTGTGCCAGAGGCACTGTTGTTCACCTCACGCCCCTTCGAAGGAATCGGGCGTTGCTCATACACTAAGTGGCGCTTTGTGCTGCGGTCCTTCGTGCACCAGACACCGGACAACCGCTTTGAAGCGACAAGTCAATGTGGACGGATCTGAAATAGCGGTGCAAGATTCGAGCATGCCTTTCAGTGTCCGTTGTAAGCTGAAGGAGACAGGTGCAAATTTGACATGACGAACTCTGCTTCTGCACCCTGACTCATCTATGCAACTTGCGCTTTTTGCAGCCAGGTCTACTCGTCTACCCGTGCTGTCTTTTGCTGTGGCTTTGTCCAACAGCCTCCAGACTTCGCTTGATCAGGCTCGAGGGCCTGCGATGTTCATGTTCACCCAGCAGCTGTTTTCAGCATCATGCAGTTGATGGAGTTGATGGGATCTGCCAAGTCGTGCCCTTCCGGTAATGTGGACTGGTGGTTTCCAAAGCGGCGCTTTCACTGTTCAGCAAAAGTCTTTTTCCAGCTGGGCAAGTCCACAGCAGAGCATGTCAGCCACATGTCCGGCAGGATGTACACACGCACACACAAAGGCACCCTGACCCAGGAAGAGCACTCTGTTCCAACTGTGCCTTGATGAAGTGCACTGCATGGCGTGGCGTCAGCTTCAACGCGCGGCACCTGATCGTAGTTTGGCTTGAACCCATGTTGCTTGTGTTCCACAGCTGCTGCGACCAGTGCTGCACTGTCGAAGCAACATGTGTTTGCGAGAGGCAGATATGGCATTGCAGCATGGAAAGAAATCCAGCAACTATAATACCAGCTACGGCCCGAGCTTCGCAAGACGCGTGACATGATGAGCATTGTGGAAGACGGTTGCCGGAGCAGTTCAGCCAGGACTATATCCATGCAGCCCATGGAAGAGGGGCCTGTTGAGAAGGCACGCCTTCGAGCTATGTCTCTTGCCTTCGTCAGCTTGACTTGTGTTTAGAGTGGATGCGGGCAGGCAAAGACACCTGTTCTAGTACAGCAGCTGGCCCAGATGGCCCCAGATGAAAGATCACAACGCATGACCTTGTCTGCCGGAGTACTATTACTAAACTTTTGATTCAACCGTATCATCTCGCAGGTGCCACGTGCGGATACTGCACGAAGCTGCAAAGCGCCATCAGGTGTGGTCGTTGCTTCTGCCGGTTGTTTGCAAGGGCGGCTGCACTGCATTCTGAAAATGACCTCTCTCCGGTGCAGGATTTCACCCTGCGCGAGGGCAAGGCTTGGGGCTACCCATCGGTGAGTGCAAGTTGAACAGCTCAACGGCAGAGTCTTGCAAGAGTTTTGACACTTCATTGTCATGGTTTGTGCTTCACGGGCTGCAACGGGAAGCCATCATGACTAGCCAAAAAAATCTAAATGGTGAATGTCTGATCTGCCGTAGTCTATCTTCGTATTTCTGTACAACAGCCTGGCTTGTGGGAGTATGCAAAGTGGGTCGGTTAGTGTCATCATCAGGTCGTTCGAGTCGGGCGCAGTCCCACAAACGCTAGGGCCCCAAGCGCTGTGAAGATTCGCTTCTCCACGAGATCCCTGTGATCCCGAATAGTCTCGCGCTGAGGATGTGACGGTAAACCGCGATGGGGTCTCCCAGTTCCACGCGGAGCTTTTCATTCGCCAGAGCCCCAACAAAAGCGATGTCTGCAGCGATCAGGCTGAGCCAGCCTGAGAAGTCGGGCGGAGAGTTCACACATGCTCGTCCGAGAGGAAAAACCCTTGAGCTTCCGAGAAGTGTAAGTAATTCCGAAATGTTCATGTTGTGAGGCATTTAGGCAGTCCGCAGGCCGCTGCATTGGAGTTCTGAGGAAATGTTTCCGGCGAGCTGGACGCTCAAGCCTCAGTGCGGCAAAGCATCTTGATCTGCTGTCAACCATCCTCTACTAGTTTTTGTTTGGCAGGTCTGAGTCTGAGTGCAAGATTGTGAGGCTGGTGGTCTGTGCATCCGAGACAACTCCAAGAACGGGACCGCGGTGACTCCTGTTTGGTTACTCGGCCAGACCTGTCTTTTCAGTGTGCCCACGAAAGCCAGGTGAGGCCCTCCTCGGCCGAGCCTTGGCCTCGTGTCAGTACGTGACAGAAAATGTGCCGGTACCGTGGGCAAGCGATTTGGCTGCAACGAAAGGCCCCGCACCAAAGATGCAGGGCCCTCAGACCATCCAGGCGCATAGAACTGGAATATAGAGCCATGGCGTTGTGGAATTGGGATTGGGCTCTGCTGCTTGAGCTCTATCGTGGTGTCTTCTCCATCCAATGTCTAGCTTGCACACGTACCCACACCTGACCGAGCTTTGTGTGCCACGGCGTTAGCGTTGTCAGCGACAGCTCGCTGCTGTACCGAGTGTTTTGCAGTTCTTGTTGGGACGAGCCATGCTTGGGATGGCGCGGTCCAGCGGCCAATGGGCCGATCAGCAGCCCAGACAAGGAGCGGGCAAGAACGGGCGGATTTTGTCGGCTCTAGTCAAAAAATCACTGCCTTGAAGGACCGCAAGTCTGGGCGCTGCCGGCTTCACAAAGGCGATCAACACCTCGGGGCGCCACAACTGGCGGAAGGCCCGGCATGGCCCGGCTGATACCGCATCGCGTTTCAAGATCGGCTTCTGTGTTGACCTGAGGCGCTGGCGCTTTGGGAAGATGCCAAGGTGCTCGTAGCCTGCAAGAGGTTCTCCAAGAGCAGCCGAAGTTGCAGGCTGCCGGCTTTGGGAAGGATGTCATTACCAGCAGTGCAGTGGTGGCTGCTTTAGCAGCATGCAGCCAATGGCGGCAGAGCTTGAGAAGCTTTGAGGCAAAACGTCTCGGTCGGTTGTTGCTGGCGCACCGGCGCAGGGAAGGGCGCATTTAGGGCAGCCGAGGCCTGCTGCAGAGCCTCCATTCGTCGTCTGTCCAGCGTGGCCCCTGGCTGAGATGGTCGCACTCGTTTCTTTGGATTGGGCTTCTTGCGGCTGCGAAGATCCCACTTTGCAGAAGACGGAGGTGCTTTCGCATACAATTCCGGCTTGTCCAGCTGCGTCCGCGCCGGTGTCTGGAAGCAGGGACTGCAGCTTTGCAGGGCAATGCATAGATGGAAGATCGAGATGCAAATAGTCGCTCCACTGCATCCTGAGAATGCCACAGTCTTTCTGAGTGGCGACGAGTGCTGTCTGGATTCACAACCGCCGTGACCTGTGCCTTGTTTGTGCGAGGTTACCAGAAATGCAGCGGCAGCACTGTATCGAGAGATTGGTAGCACGCGGCTGAGTTTGTCGATGTGCTTCGCGGCAACGTGGCCTAAGACCTTTTGAGATCACATGATATTGAACTCAGACTGGCACGCTGCAATCCACTCTGTGCGCGAAGCAGCGCAGTCAGCGTTGCAGCTTACGTGCATAAGCTACAACTCGCGCCTCTCCTGCTATAGCCTGCCGTCTGCCTGTCGTTGTTTCGAACTTCGAGCTCACATCCAGACCTTAGTGTGCTCAGGATCATGGGCGGCGGAGGCAACACCTGGCAATCTGCTTTCGAGACACTTGGCTTCACGTTTAAAAGCCGACGACCAGCAAACTGGAACCTTCAGCCGATCATGCTCCTATGCTCAGCCACGGATTTTTCAGCACTGCCTTGCGGTCCTGTGCGTTCCGCGTCAACACAGTCGCTTGTACAGCCTGCATCCCACACAGTAGGGATGCATCAGGCTGCTTCGCGATGCTCATCTTCGGGCCGTTGAGTGTGACACGGTGTCATGCAACACAGCCACCTCAACTGCGAAGGACGCAAGCAACAACTCCTAGAGCTGTCTTTCGTCGAAGCATCGAGCATCAGGACTGCTGGACCTCAGCTTTTGCACTTCTTCAAGCAGCATGTGCGCAAGGCCCTGCAGTTGCTGCACTGCCTTTGCCTCCTGCCGCCGCTTGTGCTCACATCGTTCCAGAGTTGCTCTTGAATCGATCGCAGGCGTCCGTCACGATGCAGTTACCATCGGGAGTGGCACAGATGCCTGCACACTGACAAGCTGTTGGAATGATGCCCTGCAGCTGCTACAAACCGCGCGGGGGAAGGACATCCGCAGCTGCACTACAATAACAACTGTCCAGTTTTAACAAATCATCGCATGCAGGGGAGCAGTTCGCAGGCTAATTACAGTAGATGGCTCGGCCATTCACTGCTCAGGCATTGACGTGCTCGGATGCTGTGCTCTTGCAGCAGCTTGTGAAGCTCGCGGCCAGTGGAAGCTGGCTTTGGCTTCATGCAGGCGAAGCGTTGAACAAGGTCGCTCGGCACCAAGTAAATCAATGACACGCAGTGCCCAGCTTGCAAGCGGCACCTTCGAGTCGAGTCGTTCTCTTCGACCTCTGCTACAGTACACAGCTGTACACTCGAAACGAATCTTGGGCTTGACGAGCCCAGCCCAGGTATGGGGACGGACACGGCCCTGGCAGGAGCGGGGATTACAGCTTGCAGCTCCGCCAACCTTTGGGAGGCAAGGGAGAGTCGCAGAAAACAAAAGCTCCAGGGCCCTTGAAGTCAACGCGGAGGGACGTTGAGCCGATCGGCTCAGGCTGCTACGAAGATCATGTTCAACAGCATGGTGGATTCGTCACTACGAGTTGATGTGATCTCTTTCGGGGCGGCATTGCATGCGTGTGAATTGGGGGGATGCTGGCACTCGTCTTTGCGAGTCTTGGCTGCAACGGCCACGCACTGCCGCAGTCACTGTGAGGCTTGTCGAAATCTTCAGATACCCCGGAACTGTTGCAAGTCCTCCTTGGTAAGCCCTAGACAAGAAAGGAATTGTTGAGCTCATGGCTGCTGTGGGAATCCGGCAGAACGTAGCGCCTCGGCCTGCAATGGGCTGAAATCTTGGTTCGCTCCACATACTCCAGGACTGGAGAAAGGTGTTGTTTCAGCTTTCCACGAGACCTCACACTCCTGTCGAAGCCTACGCTTCTTTTCTAACTCCGAGGTTGTGCTCGGGGCTGCGATCTCATCATGCAGGTGGGATGTCCTGCCTCCTTGGGCACCTGGTTCATCTTCAATCCTACTGCTGTCCCGCTCGGAAGGTGGGCGTCCAAATGGCGATGGGCCACACGCCTATTTCTCAGTGCATTGCTGGAACAGTCGGCAGACCCCTTGTGTGCGGACCACACAAGCAGACGCTGCAGCTAGCAGGCTTGGTAGCTGAATTCGAAACAGTGGGCACGAGAATCGCCCAGAATTACCAGCGAGCCCAGGTCTGCAATCGGAAGCGCAGTTCCAGCCAGGACAAGTGTTCTGGCTTTGCAGTTCGCAACCTGCGATCCGGTAACCGAAGCTTCCTGGATAGACGGCGCTCAGGTCCTTTTCAATGCTCACATGGGTGCTTGTGCCAGCTCGTCGCAGTGGAAGGAGGCTCTCACCTGTTGCTTCCAGGCGCAGAGCTGCAAACCAGATCGCTCACTATCCTTGCAATTGACAACTCTGGGATTTCAGGCGGAATGCCAGTCATTGGTACCGGACAGCATTGCTTTGAGCACTTTGGCTACGGCCTGCGGCTCGCGTGGATACTGGGCTCTGGCGATGGCTGTGGATCAAAGGCCGTCGGGCCTGCTGAACATGCTTCCTCAACTAGCACAGGTTAGAAGTTCTGCATTGCATCAGAGAGAAGGGCGCGGCGGCCAGAAACCCTTTTGTTCAAAACTACACCGAAGTGCAAGTTTTCCGTGCCATTCATGCTGGCAGGAGAGGTGAGCTGGCTGAATGGCAGGCTCGTGAAAAACTGTTCGCTTCATTTACGTCCATTCCCCGGCAGCAAAGAAATGTGGTGCGGTCGCACATAAGCCACGTTCAGGGTAGCTGCTAGCGGCAGGTATCGGATGAGACATCCCTTGGAGCTTTGGTCCACGCCATGTCAAACTCCTGGCAGTGGCCTTTTGCCGGGCTTCTGCTTGCCCAGGCACTTTTTGCAGCTTTCTGTTGAATTTGGCTTAAGACGGCTCCCAGTCACAGTCCCCAAAATGGCCACCGAAGTGCTCCGGCCTTCGATTGTCCAGTGGTTGTAGCCTAATTAGGCCAAAGTTAGCGTTTCAAATTCGCAGGGGGCAGGTAGAGAGCCGCGAGAGCCCTGATAGGCGGGCAAGGGAGGCTTGCGACCAGATGCTGTGAGCCTTCAGGAGGCCAGGCGTAAGCAGAGAGCCAGGTGCCCCAGGCTTCGATGACTTCTCGTGTCGGATATTCCCTGTAAGGTGGTCGGCGCTTGCGCACAAAGCGGAGCTTTTTCCGTCGCTATCGACCTTCTCCGACGCACCAGAGACTCGGCTGGCTCAGTGCGAACCGTTCCCGCAGTCCGCCCATGTCGCATCATCCAGGAGAATTTCTGCACGCCTACCAGCAGTCTCCGAACAACGTCTACCCGCGGATGCAGAATTAGCAAACAAAAATTGCGTAACCTGCATGGGTGCACCCATCTCGGCCTTAGCAAGGGTTCAAAAAGCTTGGTCCCTGATGTTCCTTGAGTCGGGGTTTAGTTAGCTTGGATTAGGGCTCAAGCTGCCAGTCATGCAATGCCCTGAGCGGCAATGGATGCAGCAACAGAAACAGGTGTCCTTAGGCACAGCAGCAGAATCACCAAGACTGCATGCATTTGCATCCAGGCCGGACTACATATCAGCCAAGTACCACGAAATTATCTCCACCGGCACTACACGTGGGTTCAAGCACTGCCTACTCCATACATTGCCACACATGCACAACACAAGCGGAAGCGGTCCGTCTTTGGACCAGACGTGACGCCGGAATGATAAACGGCAGGCAGAACTCTTTCTCAAGGAGAGACTGGCATGCGAGAGAGTGACCACATCTAGCTTCGGTTGCATGCACAGGCCGCCCGCAGAGGCTAGATGTATACAGCCACGGCCTGAGCGTCAAGACGTCGCAATTGCTTGAGTCAGTGCTTCAGGCAAGCAGCGCGAGGCTCAAAGTGCAATAGTCAGTAGTAGTTCTTCACGATACATACTACCGAGTATTGTCGACTGTCCTGAAAACCCTGCACTTTTTGAACATGTTCTGCTTGCAGCATGATTCCAAAGATGCCCAAAGGTGCCGCGTGCCACAGACAGCAGGGAGTGCTTTCTACGCAGAAGTCTTACACAGGCCCGTAACAGCGTGGCTCTTACTGTGCCAGCAGAAGGTGGAGAGAGACCCAGCTTGCGTTCCGCGTGTAACCCAGGTTCAGGGTTGCACACACGGTCCTTTTTGTGCACGTTGCAGACGGTCTGTGTCTGCCCAGGCATGCACTGCCTGCATCGTTACATCGTTGTCAGCAAAAACACTGAATTGTGTTCGATCTGACTTGCGAGGTTCTACCATTCTGTGTGTGCCGTGCTCTGGTGAGTACGTGGTGCCTTGGATTTCTTTGAGATGGAACGGCCTGGCAACTGGTTATATAGAGTACCATGTCAGAATATGGGGTTCCGAGATGTGCTGAGGCGAGAAGCCGCATGGCCAGTCACGACTCTCAGGGGAAAGGAGTCTCCGGCCACACCGCATACCAAACCGACGGTGCAGATCAAGGAAATCAAGATGCAGGTGAGCGTAACATCTTTCCGTCCAACACGTACCTGGCGATTTCTAATGTTGCAGTCACATGTTGTGGCTACCTTGCCGATCGGTTTCGCGTTCGTAGGCTACGAACGGAGCTGCGCACCAAGGCCTTGGTAATTGCAAGTTCGGTCAGGATGGTGCTCAGCATATGGCCACTGCCTCACGATGCAGGCGCAAGTGGTAACTTCGTTTCTTGGGATGACTTCCCGGTCATTGGCCGAGCATGCTTACAATCAACAAGTTGGGCCAAGTCGCCACTTGAAATACTAGGGCTCTTAAGGCTGTAGGGTCATCCACGCTCGGGTTGCCATTGCACGTGAGACGAAGCGGCGGAAGCGACGCTGGACAGCTGTGATCCTTGTTGAGGTGAGCAAGCCTGCGCAGGCGGGTTTGCGGAATGCCAGTTGGTCCGCCGCCGCAGAGCCCATTCTTCAAAGTGCTGCTCGCAGGCCGCCAACGGCCACGCACACGCTCTGCACAGCACTAATGGATCCTCCAAGTCCTCCTCTTAAGTCTTCATGTTTTAAAGGATCCTTTGCCTGTTTTTCTCCATGTGCCTTTGAAGAACTTGAAAGCGTCAAGGTTATTGGATCCTGCAGGCGCCGGCAAGGTTGAGGCTGCATCGGGCTTGGTCCTTCGAGATTCGAGGGGTTCTCTTCGTGCACTTTCTGGCAGGTTGCGAAGAGGCCTCTTCTTCCAACAGGCTCAAAGTAAAACCAGCTAGACGGCCTTCAGCGTCAGGCACTGTTGGGTCTTCGGCACAGGCAGCGATGAAGCGGAGCAGCGAAGCGCCCCTCAAGCTGCCCAGATGCAGATGTCAGGGGCATTCGACAGCTCTCCTGGGTGTTCTTTCTCATTGGTGCTCGACCTTCGCTCCCAGATGGCAATTTCTCAGGCACGGGTTTGTTTGGCGATGTTACATAAGGCGATAGGTGCAGAAAGGCACGAGGTCCACGACCCAGGCCTCATATCGATCATCTTGGCTCCCAACTGATTTTTGTGTGCGCCCCTGCATCCTTCGCGAACAAGCATTGCAAAGTCTCTAGCTGTGCAAAGAGGTCGTACCAAAACGCGACAGCGTCGGTGATGTGCACGCGGGTGTTGGTGCTGTTTCCAGGTGGTGTCGTTCCTTCCACAAACAAGGTTCAGAGATGGGACTCCCGCTCAGAGTTACACCGAGTAGAACCAGATAGAGTCACTTCTCAGGGTTGCAACCCAGCCCCATATTTGAGATGCAGAGCCGCAGGAACGGGATCACAATGCACAAGTGACAGGCGTGGCCAGCGAGATCCTCGTGCACAGGAAGCATGCGAACTATGCGTCATTTCTGCGATGTGCACTTCAAAAAACAGTGGTATGAAGAAGAATACTGCCGGTACTCCGAAGGGTGGAGGTGCGGAAAAGAAAATGGTGTATAGAAGAACCCATCCCCTCCCCGACCCTGCCTCTGATCCCTCCCCCTCCCCACAGCTCAGGTTCGGCCTCAGAAGCCTCGGCCCAGGGACCCTGGAGGTGCGGATTGGTGTCAAGCATACGACGGAAAATCTTCTGGCGGGGATTCATTGAAGGCCCGCCATCCGTTTTGAACTTCGCCGCGCAAGCGGCCGCAAATGCCAAGAAGCGGCGCAAGGCAGGCGGCCGGCAATTGTTGGCCCGTAATTTACGCTACCCCACTAGACACTCGTGTTCTGAAGCCGAAACCTTGAGCATGCTTTCTTAGATAACCAACGGAAGCCTAGAAACCTGAAGGGTTGCGGGACTTTGAGTTTCGTTGTGCATTGAGTTGGTGCATTACAGGTATCTCATTCAATTCGTAGCCTGAGACTGCAGAGCACATGAGAAAGCTCCACATTGATTGCTTGCCCTGCAGGACTCCTGAAAGCATACATCGAGGGTGTCAGCCGCACCAGTGAAGCCTGTCCATAGTCCCTTTGCACCTCTGGGTGTTTCGTGCTGTGCAAATTCGCGAGAGCATGTCCCCTTTCCGTCGCAGGCTCACCTGGCTCTGACTGTGTGTGTACAGGAATGTAGCACGTCACTGGGTCGCTGAAAATCGGTACTGTACTGCGTTGCCGGCATTGACCACCAGTTCTGAGGAGATCTTGTGCCCGAGGCAGGTCTCGATGTCTCCAAGAACTGATTCAACCAACCGCAGGTCGTGTGGGAGCCCTTGCGCCGCGGCTCATTTCGAGTGTTGGGCAGTGGGTGGCAGGTGGCAGCTGCCCCGGAGATATTGTTCTGATTTAGCCCAAAGTTGTCCAGAAATGCGGAGCTGCCAAATCAGTTGATACCTGCTCGCGGAAGTCATGGAGGCACGGGAAGCGGATCCAGTAAGTCCAGTAAACAGGCTATGTTTGACATTCCCTCTTGGGATGTTGAAGCTTACAGGTTCCATATCGGGGACAGCGACATTGACCATACAGATCCAGAACAAGGCAACGGAGCAGTTTACGCTAGCGCAATAACTGCTTGCGGCGGTTCGTTCAAGCATGCAGGTGTTTGCCGGAGAAGATGCTGAGTTGGACGGCGAAGAGTGGCATCCATTTGAGGTTCGGGGGTGTGTGAAGTGAAGCATTATCACGCATCTAACAGCATCGGATGACTTCGTCTTTGAAGCTGAGCCAGGCTGCCTCTGCCGAGAACACATCCGTGGAAGCATCAAGCACCCAAGCGCCCCGACTGAATCCGATAGAAGAACCAGGTTGCATCCACGACTGAAGGAATTAGTTCGCTTTTCTGTCAGTGAGCTAGCATTGGACGGTTTACATGTTGCTCCAGATGCTGAAGCAAGAGGTAGATTCAGGTAGATGTCCGTGCGAAAAATCTCATCCTCCTCGGCCGGATGTGCATCCACGTTCCCTGCCGAGTTGTAAAGAGTGAGGTAGACGTTGTAGTGCAAATCTCAGTATGTCTAGATTAGCGTCTGGTTTCGCAAGATTTTGCTCCACAGGTAAATCCCACTGCCGAGCCGAGGCACGGGACGATCGTTGCTCTATGTAAGTGCTACGCCTTATGGTGGTGTGTGCTTTTGCTGCGGTGTGGTGCAATTGGGGTGGCAATGTTTGCAAAGTAACTTGATTTTGGCTCAAGGTCCAAGGCTCTGATGTGCTCGCTCGTTGTCACACCCGCACGTTCTCACCAACTTTGCCACGGCAAGTCGAAAGGAGCCATGCAGAAACACTTCCGAGACTCCCAGAACAGACCGACGAGTGATGAAGCAAGTGCTGCGTTTGCATGTGCTTATGCCTGTGGGAGGCCACCGCCACCGCCAGACTTGGATGGTGGCGCTTTTGAAGAGCCTCCACCGCCTCCACAGGCTCACCGAAGAAAACAAGATGTCTTTCCAAGCCCTGACCAAGTCTCGCACTTTTTTGATCCGGAGGTGTCATCGTCTGTGCCCAGTTCAATGAAGGAGGATGGTGTGCTATTCTGGTTCTTTATATCATCTGCTTGTCGACTCTGCCCGACAGTATTCAGTCCCTGGCTGCGCTTATTGTGCTGTAAACGCAATCGCAGTTGGCACATGGTTCGCAAGCTTCCACGGCAGGCGATGAAAGAACCGCCACCTGCGCCCAGTTCGCCGCATGCACAGACCAAAGGGATTGGTATCTTCTGCGGGAAGTGCTGACCCGCCGCAGTCCTGGGGCTGATGTACCACGGCAGCTCATGGCCTTGACCTCGTTGACATGCTGCCTGCACCCTCTTTCATGTCCGGTGCATCTGCTGCTCAGGACGAGCATGTTCGAGCACGCCCTTCCCGCTGTCATTCAAGCCGGCGTGCTGATTCCAAGCTCCATTTTGCTGTCGTGGCAGGCATGCAGTGGATGGGTGGCAAAGCAGGGCTTCCTGCCTGGATGCTCAGTGCTGTATGTCGGGAAGACGGCTTGAAAGCATGTTGTGCGGGATGCATACATCAGTTATTTCACATGCAACATCTAAATCACCTCAATACGTGGGCCTAGAAAGGCATCATCTGCTTTCAGGCTAGACCTGATTCTAGAACGACATGACATGCCTGCCATGTCGGCTTTAGAGACTGCCATGCAGGAGCCAAAAACTATATGCTGCCAACAACAGCCAGGTTTTCTTGCTAGTAAAAAGTGACCGCAATGAAAACATCTACGATATGCGGGATCATGCAAGAGTCACATGCCTCAGATTCTGGATACGGACGATAGGTCATACCCAAATCAGACCCAGGCTAACCACGATGCAGCCGGCAAGCTGCGCGCCCGGATGTGCAAATGAAGTGACATTTGATGACTCACATACCGATGGCTGCAAGCCATTAGTTTATCTGGAATTCAGCCGATTGGCCTGTCATTCAGCCCCTACATGAGCACGCCGCATCCTGCGCTCGCATCAGATGGGAATCGGACATGTTTGCGTGAGACTCGAAGCTTGTTTGCCGTTGAGGCGACCGAAGCGGTCCAAAGAGATGTTTGAGGCCGGTACCTGCGAACTGCACTGCCGCGATTAGACCAGGCGTGTCTTCATTGCGGAAGGTGGCGCCGGCTGCACCGCCCACAGCGCGAGCAGCTCAAGTAACGGAAGACGCAGCGCAACACAAAGAGAAAGTGGAGCCTTCGCCCCTAGCAAAAGCGCATACATCGCCGCCGCCGGTCAAGCTCTCCGATCCAGTGCTGGATCCCAAAGTCGCCGCTGCATGGGGGCTGCCGCATCTCGGATTCACAGCTTGGACCGTCTCAACTGGCATGTGTTTTCATGGCATGTTCATACAGTCAAGTGGTTGCACACTGTCGCAGCCGAGGAGCTTGCAAAGTACCGCACAGTGCTCCGCTGCACAGCTCCCCAAGGCCTTGCACTCGTCAACGTATTGGCTGAGTGTTGAGCTTGTGTGGTGCATGGCCGACTCAAATTCCCCTGAGGTGAAGCTGGGCAGCTTGAAGCCCAGGTTTTGTTTCAGACTGGGTTGATTTCTCTCCCGCTGGCCTAAGGCGACGCGGCAGAAAGTTTGAGGCGCGCCGAAGAGAGATGCAATCTAAAGGCGTTCGTTCAGATTTCACATGCAGCGGCAGAGGTCTTAACGGCAGCAGGGTGTAGTGTAGCCGAGTGCGCATGGACATAGAATGTCCTGCCGGACTCCCCAGCAACAACGATGGGCTTTGGTTTTGGAGGACAGGATGGTGAATTGGGCCGACTGCGGTGCACAGCATGTCCTGGTGGCAGGAAAGACCCAAGCCACAAGCAACGGGCTCTGAAGGAAGAGGGCGACAACAGACAACATGTCAGCCGTGGACGGACAGAAGCTTTGCTGCTCATGATGTCCTCTCGAGGAGCGCAAAAGATCTGAAGATGGTGAGCTCTTGAAGACCAAAGCCACGCACAAGAACAAGAAAAAGAAGGAGAAGAAGATGAGAGCATCCAAGGCCAATGTCGGGTTGGAAGCTAGGTGTTGGGCTGAAGCAGTAGCACGGAGGTCGATGAGTCCACGAGCACGACATCAGGTGCCGACCTTGGCCCTTTGGATCATGTGACGGGATCAAAGCCAAAGCCGTGCTTCAAGAAGCAGGGCCAACGCTCATATGACTCCTATGCCTACCCTGACAGAACCACACGGGAGACATGTTCTGCTCGCGAAACAACCCCATGTTGCCCGCGGAGTTGCTGTGACCACGAGAGAAGCAGAGTAGATAAGAATGAGTCTCCGGCCGAAGCTACAGAGAAGGGAGCTGTGCCAGGGCAAGCTAGCTCAACGAGCCTTTTTCTTTTGTATTCAATGTGCCGCACATCACTAGCAACCTTAGCCACATTTGGTGGACCCGCACAAGGCTGCGGGTTTTTTCGGAGACGAGGATTCAGAACCCTCCCGGCTCGAGAGCCTGGAAACTCGCCGCCTCCATCCCCTGAACTACCTGAATATCATAGGCTGAGGGGTGATTCCAGCAAAAGTCAATGCTGAAAGCAGCGTGACCTTGGGTTGCTGGTGCTTGTGTTCTTGTTCACCCTTTTCTGGTACTGCTGTCATTTAGTATCGGGTGCGAATTCATCACACTTAGGTCGAAAGCGGAAGCAGAAAGACAAACAATCACGGGCCAAGTCGGCCAAGGACAAAAGCACACGACTGGAACTTGGTTTCCACTTGTGGCCATCATGCGTCTTAAATTGCGAAGCCCTCCGGCCCATCATGATGAGCATGGTTCAGCTCATCCGTGTAGGCATGAAAACAGGAGAGAAGCCATGTCCTCGATGCACGAAGGAGAGCAAGACGCCAAAGTCGAATGGAACGACGAGGTCTCAGAAGAAGAAGGACCGGCCGAAACTTTCCGAATTGGAATATCGTCAACTTGTCGTAGAGAGTATATAGAGAGTATAAGTGGTGCTCACTTGCAGCCTTACCAGTGTTGTGGCCAGCATGCCGAGATAAAAGGATAATACCGAGCATTGTTTCTACCTACAAACATCACAGGCAGAGGAACCCATCATGACTCGCTGCGGGTGCATGACTTCCTGGTTCCATGGATACACCGCACGGCTGTGACCGGCTTCAACTTGTCGCCTCACCGTGTCGCTGCTACTGGTGTACCCGCAGAGTTCCGTCTCCTGTGATGACTACAACCCAGCGGTCGCGCATGTCGAGCCAGGAACTTGGTTTTAGGAAGACGCCGCTCGAACTGTCCAGGTTTATAGTTGCACTATTGCTTCCCAAGCCGCCAGCCCCATGAACCGGCTTCTCGTGCCTGGTGTTGAAACCCTTTCCTGTGAATGTCAATGCCAACGCACCGAAATGCACAGGACTCCGTGGGTACTCCAATTACTACTTTGACAACAGCTCTTGCAGATGATGTGCCTCGCCTTGCACGTGCTGCGAGTTAGGCTCTGCAGGAATTAGTAGGCTCGTTGGATGCACCCGGCCGATAAGGTCTCAGATGACCCGACCCAAGTTGCAGAGGCTGCGAGTTGGGAGCAGAAACGAAGAGTTGCAGATTTCGTCCACGTGTCGCAGTTGAAGTCCTGAGATGTCTTGCTTTTCAGCTGTACGCCCTGGTGCCTTCCAGACTCCTTCATTATATAACAATATAGGTACTTTTTTTCAGATCGACCTGAGTCGATCTGCGATTCGATCGTGTGTTTTCGAAGGAGTCAGATGATGCTACGCAAATTGCTGACGAGGCTTGACATACTGCTTGTGTTGCAAGTCCTTGTCTAGCTGGGCACCCACTGAATCTACTGTCTTGGTTCTTCACTGTAGCTCAGCCCTCAGCCGGCAGGATCTAGAGCCAACGTCACCAGCCTGTCCGCCTTCGTCTCCGTCCGACCAGATGGAGGAGGCTGGGGGAGCCTTTCCCGCTGATGACAGTCGTTAAAGTTCTTGCTCACTGTGAATCTGCACATGCGAGGTCCGGATGGCTGCGACAGTGATGAAGCCCCAAAGAAGAGATGGCAAAATGTGTGTCCAAATCGTCCCTCTTCCTGGAGACATGGATCAGTTGCACAGGTGATTGGCAATTTGTAGCTATACTCATCTTGGTGCTGTTAGCTGGCATTTTCTCCAAGTCTGTTCCAGTCAGAATACATTAGTGCTGGCCCCAAGGCCCTTCAGATAGAATCAAATCCACATGCAAGGCACAAAGCCTAGCCAGTCATGCGTGCGCGCAAGTTCCACGGTCGTGCCACACAAGTAAATTAAATGGCTACGGCTCAACGACATTAAGACAAGAACCCGATATTTGCATATGTTTGGTTGATTCTTCCCAGATCGCATTGAACTGACTCTATGAGCACCTGCAGAAACTTACAAGCAGATTCAAGCAGTGTCAGTTGCAGCCTGTGCATCGTGAAGTGTCGGCTTAGAATGAGCCATGCCTGGCTGCCACATAAACCGAGTGCCTGGTCGGCGTGCGGCATGTGTATTGGCGGTGTTGATCTGGCAGTGCAGGCCCTGCGGCTTTGCAGAGCCAGGTGCTGCACTGCACGAGCGCGTCTGCGCGCGATTGGTCGCGGCAGCGCGGCCAAGGCGGCCTCGCCTGCAGTCGGTGGGTCGCGCGGCTGGTGCTGGAGACGTGGTCGAAGGCTTGCTGCTGGAGGAGAAGTTAGGTGCTGGCTCATTCGGCACGACGTGGAAGGCCACCGTCAGTGAGCGGTGCGAGGTGCCGGACTTGTCGCCAGGGCAAAAGGTGGCCCTGAAACTCGTCAGGCTGGAGGAAGGTTGGACCACTTTGGACAAATTTGAGCGTGAATCGTCGGTCTTGAAGAGGCTGCGGCACGCAGCAGTTCCGTCATACTATGGCAGCGTGGTTAGAGACCGTCCAAACGGTCAAGACTTCGGCCTGGTGTGCAATATTGTCAACGGCAACACACTTGAAGAAGAGCTTCGCGGTGGTCGTTGGGTCGCAACAGTGGACAACATAAAGTTGCTGGCAGAGACCCTTCTGGAGGTGTGTGTCCACCTGGCCAGCTTCGCCCCTCCGATTGTGCACAGAGACATCAAGCCCCAGAACATCTTGCTGGAGGCAGCATCTACGGATGACACTCGCACCAGCTGGCGCACGTACCTGGTCGACTTCGGCTCTGCTGTTCTAGGATCAGGAACCAGAACTGCGGAAGGGACCTTCGGATACATGGCGCCAGAGTCTTTTGGTCGGGTCTTCACCCCGAAGTCCGACCTCTACAGTGTTGGCGCGACTCTGCTGTACGCTGCGACGGGTCTGGAGCCTGGGACACTGCCGCAAGAACGCCTCAAGGTGAAACTTCGCCCAGCCTTTGTTGGCACAGTGTGGGAGAGACAGGAGCGCTGGTTTTTGAAGTTACTGGAAGGACTGCTCGAGCCCGCGCCCGTCAGCTCCGCTGCGGAGGCATTGAGTTTCTTGCGGCAGCCTGTGACAGAGGCGGCCTTACCACTGGGCCAGCTAACCGCATCGAATAGTATCGCCAAGAACCAGGCTACTTTGCAATCTCGGACAGAGGTCACTTTGGAGCCTCCGCGTGGGTCTCGAATATCCGTGGACAGACGCGGAGAGGAGCTGAGGGTGCTGCTTCCACCCGCCAGATGGCAATCACGAGTTTCGGTGGGCTCTTTCGGAATAGCCTGGACGACTTTCACTGCGGTTTGGACAGCAGGGGTGATTGCCGCTGGTGCGTCGTTTATGGCACTCTTCAGTCTTCCCTTCTGGACGACTGGCGCTGCATTGCTGAAGGACACCTTTGGCCCTCTTCTACGGGGAGCAGCAGAGCTACTAATCCGTGGTGATCGATGGACATTCTGCAAAGTGGACGGCCAGGTTCTCGAACAAGGCCGAACAGCCGATCTCCAGTGCTTTGTTTCGACCAGTGGGGCCAGCGGAGGCAAGGATGTCGTGCTCGAAGAGGGTCTGGTGAGCGTGAAAGTGCAGGAGGGCCTCCCCGAGGTGGAGGCTGAATGGCTCCAGGCATTGATTGAGAAGCACATCGAGCGCTACAAGTGAAACACGCCTTGCTCGATGGAGATCTTTTGATTATCGCCTGCTGCAAGCACAGCTGGGAAGATCTCAGCTAGAAGGCTTTCAAAGGCAAGGCCTTCGGCCGCAGGCGACCTTCTTGCATTTGCAAGGAAACAGAACCTTCCGCAGCCATTGCTTTCCGAAGCTTTAAAAAAGCTGTCTTGCTGTAGTGCTGAGCTGAACGTTGATAATAATGTGTCCGTGATGCAGTATGAAGCGGGGACACAGTATGAGGCCTTGAAGCCCTGGAGCCCAACTTTGTCCAACTTGCCTTGCTTGGCCCAACTCGCTTGGCTGAGCATACTGTAACTTACTTCATGTCGGCCCATGTGCAGTTCATGTCAGTGCTGTGCAGTCCATGTGAGTGCATGTGCAGTTCATGTTCAGCTCATGTTCAGTTGCATGTCGGTTGTTGGACAGAAGAGAGAGAACAGAAGACAGAGCAGGGAACTGACTGCCTTTCCTGAGCCTGTGGACCTCTTTTTCGGTGTCTGCACGTTCCTTGCGCTGCTACTTGCCTTGCTTGATCTGCATTGTTTTTCCCTGCCTGTTTTCGGCCTTGCCTTTCTCGCCCCCTCCCCCTTCTTTTTTTGCTACCCTCGAATATCGAATGTTGATCGTGAGGGGTGAGTTGGGTGATGTTTCGAAGATGGACCGTCGTTACTCCCAACACCTAGGGGTATGCTCCCCCAGTCTTCTCGTATTAGTCGGCAAGAGTAGGCATCCGTTGGAGCCATCGGAAGCACAAGTTAATGCACGGCAATCGTCACCAAGGAGTTTCGCCGAGCCAGTCTCGCTCGAGACGGGTTTCCAGAGAGCACACGAGCTAGCAGTCGAAGAGAATTCAACCACGAAGAGCAGTCTCACAGATCGGCACAATATGCAGGAGCGGCCGGAGCGGCTTGCAGTGTATGCATGATTGCTCGGCAGCAAACGCACAAGGTCAGCTTAACGAAAGCTTTGGGCTGCCCCCCTGCTGCCATGATGCGCTTCTGCACTTTTTGGTTGCTCCTCTTCTTCTTGGCCTGCTGTCTGCTGCAGCAAGCTCTGCGAAAGACTCTACAAGTCAGCTTGGTGGTTCCGTCACTGGAGGAAGCATCGGAAAGAGTAGAAAGACAACCTTCGGTGCACCCTTCCAGCACCGAACGTCGTGATGACAGAGCTGCTGTTTCGCAGGTGCAAGGAGATGTCCCCCGCTTCCGCGCCCACGTTTCCGTTCTTTCATGCCGTGAGTGCCAGGGTGGAGGCCTCGGTGATTTATCCACGATGAAGGCCTCAGGCCCTTTGCGGCACGTCGTCGTATCCATGGCGAGCCGGGATGTCGACATCCTGGCGTTCCTGGTGCTTGCGAGATCGCTCCGTGCTGGTGGTCGCTTCTCAGGCGACATAGTCCTCATGTGGTTTGGCGACCCGACAAAGGATATCTCTTGCAGGCATAAACAGGCACTGGAAGAGCTTCGTTTCAAAGTTGCATGCGTGCGCCAGCCCTTGCACGAGACAGAAATTCACAGCAGCGTGACCGGACGTTCGTGGGATTGGGTGAAGCTGCTAGCATTCACGCTGACCGACTTTGACTTGGGAGTCTTTCTTGACGTCGACATGATGGCCATTCGTCAAACAGACGAGCTCTGGAGTGGTTTGGGCTTGGGTGCAGGAAGCTCGCAGAAGCAGTTGGCCTTCGTGGATGGACCCAAGTCGCTTTTGAATTCTGGGATCTTCGTATTTCGGCCCAGCATGGAAGACTTCACTGCGTTGACCAATCTTGTGCGCCGGGGAAAGTACTCAGAGCTCGATGGCTGGAACCATGCAGGCGTCGTCTCAGGGAAGAACAACCATTGGGATGAGTGCCAGGGCTTGTTGTACCACTATTTCGTTCAGCTCCACAGAGGAGGTGTTCAGCTGCCACGAGAAGTTTGGGGAGCGAGCCCATATGGCCTGTCAGGAAGTGCAAGCATCGTTCATTTCGCTGGGAGTTCCAAACCGTGTGTGCTTGCCTCCATGAAAAAGCCAGGACACACCGTGAACGACGAATCCTTGTCATCCTATGTTCAGTGGTATGACTACTTGTCCCAAACAGTGGACGCGGACACCATCGCTAGCTTGTCGACCGGAGCATGTGCAAGACCTTTGCGAGCAGGATCTCATCCCGTGCAGGCACCAGGCAACTTGGCCACCAAATCTCATTGGGAAGATCATGCGCCACTGTCGCCAGGGCTTTCTGCCGTTGTAGTGTCGCAAGCCGAGTATGATGGGACTGTGGCCTGTTCGTTCGTCAGCGAGAGCGCCGAGAAGTCTGTGTTCTGCGCGCAGGAGGTCGCCGAGCACACCCTGGTCAAGCGCTGGATACCGCGAAATGCAACGGTCTTAGAAATGGGAGCCCGGTATGGAACGACTTCTTGTGCCATTAGCCAGGCGCTGGGAAACTCCGGAAAGCAGGTGGCTGTCGAACCTGACGAGCGAGTGTGGAACGCGATTTCACAAAACCGGGCGACACACAAATGTAATTTCATTCTTCACCGGGGCATTCTTGGAGGGGGCGGCTACGTCCTCAGTGGCTTGCAGTATGGCAAGAGGGCCCATCGCGAAAAAGGCATCTCTGGCATACCGCACCTAACCATGGCAGAAGCAGAGCGGGCGTATGGCCTGCGCTTTGACACTTTGTTGATTGACTGCGAAGGCTGTGTCAACAGTTTCCTGAAGGAGAATCATGACGCCTTGACGAACATCCAGCTAATTCTCCTCGAAGCTGATCAGCCGAAGACGATAGACTATCGGAAGGTCATCGCGACCTTGGCCAAGCATGATTTCGAAGAGGTTGACAAGTTTCAGGAGGTAGACAGACCAAACAAGCTCTGGCACTATGCGTTCAAACGCAGCCAAAAAGAAAGGGCTAGTTTAAGTCTCGTTCCCCTTGAAGCTGTGATGGGATGCATCGGTTATTGAAAGTGCTGACAACCTTGTTTGGCTCGGCTTGCTAGCTCGATTTGTTTGACAGTTCCCCCTAGAGAATGCCTATGCCTCCTGAGCAGCACAACCAACTGGGGTTCCGTGTTTCAGCAAGGACCTTAATTTTCTTTCGCAGGGTTTTTCCACAACAGCAGCTCTCCAGCTCAAAGTGGAACACCTTGCAGACCATCTGTCGTCTCCAAAAAGCATGGATGATCGGAAGAGCCTCCACCTGTCTCTCTCTCTCTCTCTCTCTCGCCCTCCTTCCCTTCGAGTGCAGCTTGTCAAGTTTTCTGTGAATGACGAGCATAAGCCGGTTTTCCATGCACTGAGAAGCGAGAGCTCGCGGGCAGGGTTTTAGCTTCATGCTTCCACTTCGGAAAGGCTTCTGTATTTCCATGTCAGATCTACAGCTCAAGATCCATGGAGTCGAACAGAGGTGCTTCTCATCTGACTCCCTTACCGACCCCCTCGCCTGTGTTCAGTTTCTTGCCTGGGCATGATTGCGGTGGACTGATATGTGTGTCCCTTAGCTGAGCAGTTTTCGATGGGCCACGAAAGGGACAATGAAATCATTCGAATAGAGGATATGAGAAGTTCTGAGCTGTTGGAGAAAATATGGAGAAAAATAGGTCTCCTTTGCTATTCGAATGGAATGGAATGCCAAGAGAAATCTTGGCTCTAGCTGTTTTATTTTTGTTATTTTTTCAGAGAAAATTGCAGTGGGAGATATTAGTGAATATTTTCTCATTTATTGAATTTATAAATACGGCAAAGGTTTTGCATTCTGAATTAATTATAATTACTTATTTTGGGCATGATATTAATCTCCTAAAACCAGATATTTTAGAGTCAAATGTATATGAAATGAATTCGATGTATGAACGTATATGTTGAAAATCGTAATAGTTTCTAGTTATGAAATTTTATTTAAGGGTCAGCCTGCTGACGTTGCCATGTGGGTGCCAAAAATTTAAGGGATCAGCACGATTATTTAATAAGGTTTTTAAAAACGGAATTTATTAAGGATATTATTCTTAAAAAGAAGAATATTCTTTATTTATTTGTTTGTTTATTTACTTGTATTAGACAAGTATAATAATTACGAAAAATTCTATATTTACTTATACTAAATAGAATATTCGTAAAAAAATGATACATATATCGAAAAATTGCTTATTTAGATTCAATTCTCTAAAAAAATTATATTATCTTATATATTCAATTTTTGGTCCTATAATAATTATCATAGGTAGGAATGATTATAAATACTATATATTCTTTACTTTCTAAAACTAAGCCTCGGTATAAGTTATATCGAATCGATAATCATTTACTTAGTTATATATTTTCTTTAAGGTGTTATATTTTAGTAGGCCAATCTATCTAAGACTAGAATTCAAAGTATCATTAGTTTCTGTATATAATATTGGGAAGATATGTATTGAATTAGTATATTTACTTTTTAATATAATATATAGGGTTCTAATTAGGTATTTAGATCAAATGAGTGATTCGTTGATCTGTATCAGCATGAATGAATTTGAGTTTTGAATATATATATATATATAGATATAGATATAGATATATATATATATATATACTCATATATGAGATTATCAGAGGAATTAAGGAACGAAAAGCTGGCCAGGGGTCATGATTAAGAAATTTATTATTTGTCGACAATGATTCAGACCTTCTTTAAGCATATGCTCATACCTTACTAGTTGCGATAAGCCCTCTAGCTTCGACGACTGAAACCGCAGCCTCGCTAGGAGAATAATGAAGCTCTCTATATCCTCGTGATCTAGACTAAATATCCCTATCAGAACTTTTGTGGTTTGATATACAATCCCTTCATATCTTCCTGGTCCTCTATTATGGTTATAATTTTGGCGAAGGTCTCTATCTCCAAATATCTGGATTAGAAATGCTTTTGGTTTGATATATAATTCCTTCACATCTCTCTGGTCCTAGAGAGATTGACAAAGTGTCTTTCGCGTTGAAAGCAGGTCAAAGCACTTATGGCGCAGTTCATTCGCCTTTGATGGTTCTTGCCTACAGGTTCCTTGCTGATTACTCAGCAATGCTTTCACTTCTGGTTACTGTTGCATGTTCCAGCCAAGGCGCTCGAGCAGAGCATACAAGGGCACGGCTTGAGGCTTTAGAGACCAAGCTTTCAACTTTCAACCGCATCTGCCGAAGCTTGAGGTTCTTGGAACACCGGACCTTCAGCTGGGAGGATTTCCTTGGCACTGCTATGACCCTACTGGATCATCATGCTGACGTGAACCAAGGGGACAATTATGGGAAGACTGTGCTGATGGAGGCCGGGAGGGTTGGAAGGACACTAGGCAGACAGCAATTAAGTTTTTCTGGCATGCAGTCCACCAGTTTGCCTGCGATGCCTTCTGCAGGCGGCAGAAGGTTGCGAGCCAGAGCTCGTGGACTTTCTGCTGAAGCATGGGGCAAATCGTGACCTGAAGGACGGGGGCGCTGTTGCACAAGTCTGCCCCAGAGGCTATATTGTGTCATAGTGGTTGCAACTGTGTCAAGCAGAAAACTTGTGGAGGACGAAGAACATCTGACAGCAAAGGACTGGGCCCGTCCTGAATTTGGCGAGCCATGTGACAAGAACAGCACAGAGCTCACTGAAACCCATCGACTCTTGGATCGGTGAGGTGAACCAAGGCATGGTAGTCCATCCAAGCAGAGACGACGTAAATTTGGACACTTCTTTCTGTCCAGTAGGCCATTGCACGGCATCTGCAAGCCTGCTGCAAAGCGTACCTCGCCCTCGCAACTACCTGTGTTGCTTTTGCGAGGCTCGTTCGCTATGCGTTTCATCATGTGGACGCACACACTCTAAACCACAGATGTTTAATAGATTTCTAAACAGCCTGTTTAGTCACGGCCAAAGTTGGACGACATATGGCAAGGCACCGTGTGGGGAGGGGAAGGTCTGGCTAAAATGACGTGTGCGCAGCTCTTGCTTCGTTTGCCATTGCCTTGAAAGGTCGTGACAGATGTCAAAGTTCTGCCGACACAACAGCCTAAGCCGCGGGACGAACGACAGTGCAAAAGTTTTGCGACAGCGATGTCGTAGCTGTGTTCGCACGGGTCAACGAGTGAAGCGCTTTTGATATTGCAAATCATGCCTAGGCCGTAGGCCAAACAAGTTGGCTAGTGTCAAAGTGTGACAGAATTTCATCGACCACAGCCCAGATGTGGCAAAGCTGTTTAGCCGTCAGCAAGCAGGGCTACTTGGAAATCCCGTTTGGCATCGATGTGCAGGAGCTAGTCATGGTCCTAACGCCCAAAGGCTCATGTGTATCCCTCGTCACCCTTCGCACAAATGTCCTTGTCCTTGTTGCATCGTAAGCTTCATGACCTCCCAGGTTTAGCAGCAATCTACGTTTGGTTCGGCAGCAGGATGTCATTTTACGGTTTCAAGGCTACGACTTTACCACCTATCGTGGGCTCTGTGAACAGGGATCCAAAGCTAGAGCTCTGGCATGCCGGATATGGACGGTGCGAGGCAGGTTACAAGTGAGTGATAGTTGACAGGTGACAGGTGAGTCTCAAGTTTTGAGTTTGGGTTTTTTAAAGTGACAGATGACAAGTCAAAAATGACAGATGGACGTAGTTGGCAAGAATCCATAATCCATGCACAATCGAGGAGGATCGAGGAGGCGTGGAACCGTGCTGGCCTGCTCTGGCTCGACACAGCTCGTTGTTTGCAATCTTTTCCTTACTCGTAGCCTGCAGAAACACGTCAGCCACATTTCCTTCGGCCTTCTTTTCTTTCCAACCCTCTCCCATGCATTGTCCAGGAAGGCCCGGATCTCGGGTCCTGTTTTAGTGGCCGCGCCGGCCATGGTTCTTTGCAAGCTTGCAGCTGTGCTCCTCGCCCAGTCCAGTGTGCATTTTGTGCGCTGGCTCTGCTTGTGGCTTCAGCGCCCTCCCCCACCATCCAAGCCGTCGAAGCCTGCAAAGAACTCCATCCGCCACCGAGTCCATCCAATCGAAAGCAGGAAAAAAACCGAACCTAACGCCAAGCTGCGAAGACCGTGACAAGCCTGCAACCAAAGCGTGAAGCGAGAATCCCACTTGAGGTCAGGCCATGTGGAGCAAGGGGCAGCTGCTTCTTTTCGTTTGGCTGGCTGCTTTGCATAGAAATGGGGAGGGTTGCGTTGCGCTACGAAGGGACAGGGGATCGATTCGCTGACAAACTGTCATAGCCGTCATAGCCCAGAGTGAAGATCTCCAAGGGTCACTGGTCCTGTGTACGGAAGTGATCTCATACAGGATGAAGCTCAGATAAAAGGGTAGGCTCATGAGCCTTCATGAACAAGAAGCCCCGTCACTGAGATTCTGGTCTGCTGCCTCGCGAGCCGCGCTGCGAGAGCGTTTGATTCGGAGTTTCTGGAGTCCAGCACAGAGGACCGCAGTTGGGCTCCGAAGGTGGCGTCTAGAGTCATCGAGAGCACGGCACCTCGAATCTAGATGATCAGAAAGCGCCAGCTCTTTTCGCTACACTGCATCCATCTGGATCCTATTGAAAGACGTGGTTTGTTTGGTCAATCAGATCCTTTCGTGCTTGTCCCAGACCCTCAGGACGAGGCACTCAACTTGGCCAGCCGCAAAACCTGGGGCGAGGCTTACCTGCATGGAACAGGAATTCTTCGACGGTCCGAGCTCGCAGTGGTGGTGGTGGTGGTGGTGGTGGTGGTGGTGGTGGTGGTGGTGGTACGTTGTCGGCGGCGTCGTCGTAGTAGTAGGAGGAGGAGTAGCAGCAGTCAGCAGCAGCCCAATCCATACAATCCAGTTGGGGAGAGGTTGAATCCTCGATGCTTAAGGACCTCTTCGGCGAAGTCCGCGAAGCTCTCTGGCCCCACAGATGCACAGAAACCGTCTGGCCGATTTAGCTGTGCATTGAAAGGCTTCGACAGGTTCGGCGGCTTTTGCGTATAGGGTACAGGGCCACGGCACGGCATTGGGTCCGCCTTGGGTCTATCGATTGCCGTCTCGTGGCAAGTGCTTTTCAATTTGACTCCTCAAGACGAACATGCAATCGAGGCAGCTGGACTTCGTCTGGTTCCTAGCGGTGGTGCTGATCTCCGTTGCCATTGAGCCTTGACCGCACAAGCTTCCTGTGAATATTTTGGTGGTGGGGCGCAGGCAGTGTTTCGGGGCCATCTGTTGTGGCGCAGCACCTGTTGGCAGATGCTGTAAAGAACTTCTGAAGAGGAAGTTCAAGCGTCGCGTCGTGCACCAGAGACTCTCTGACAGACCGGTCGCAACCATTCGCTTCGGAACTGGAAATGGAACTCGCAAGCATGTTTTGCAGGAGCTTTCCGTTGATGTGGGGCTCCAGCCTAGAAGCTTGGGGCAGTGCATCCTGAAAGCATGAACTGGATTAGGTTTGGAGTCTCAACAAGAATGCCTGACGGTGCTGTCCATTCGTCCAACCTGCCCCGGGGATCATCGGCCATGTCTGAAGTGAGACGTCAGAGAAAGCGTAGCTTGAAATGCCCGACCGTCATGACCATCCCAGGTATTGTACAAACCACCTGAGATTGTGGGCGACACTGCTGACGATGGCTACTAGCCGTGTACTAGCCTGGCTTCTTCCAGAATCGATTTTTTCGGGGTTGCTCCTGAGGGTGGCCTACGTGGCTGACTGAGCATCAAGTGAGATAGTCACAGTCTAGACAGCAGGAGGCAGAAGCGTGGTTTGCGCATTTTGCGCTTGTGTTTGTGCTATTTTGTGCTGGCAGACGAGGAGTCGTCGATAAGAAGTGGAAGCCGGTGGCGTGGCACAGCAGGCTCATAGCGTCGCTGACTAGCCACGCAGCGGGCATTGCCGGCTTCGTCGGCTTCCAGTGGATTGTCGTCGCCAGGCGAGGGCAGAGTTTGCGAAAGCGCATCAGCCTGAAGCCGTACTTCTGCTTGGTTTCGTTTCTGTGGGCAGGATCGTGTCCACGAGCCGACCGCTCGAGAATTTCTCCCCGTCCAATGTCCTGCTCTACACCAGCATCGCCATTTCCGTCACCGCCATCTTCTCGAGCATCCTGCCCTTCGGCCCAAATGCTTGAGCGTGGCTTTCCGGTGCCATCCGTTTTGTTCGGAAGCAAGCCTGCAGTGCCCTGCACCTTGAGGTTCCTGGTGCAGGACTACTTGCGCCGCCTGGTCATCGACAGCGCCCAGGGCCGGGGCTATCGGCTCAGCCTCGAGTGTGGCCAACTCGAGCAGACAGGCGTCGCACCGCATACGTGGGCATCCATAAGCCGGGAGCCAGATCATGCAACAAAGGCAAACACTGGTCTTGGCTTGGATCGGACGCTAGCGTTGGCAGTTGGGGGGTGGGGTGTTTGAATCGAGAGCTCAGGGGCTTTATTTCAAGGCTGAAATGGGATTCAGGTCAGGGTTGTTTCAGTCTTCATTTTTCAGGCTTTCAGGCTTAGCTCTTCGCAGGGTTTCGACCACATCAAATAACACATAGGGCACAGGCTTTGCCCGGCCCGAGAACTTTGAGGTCGCGGGCTCTCGCTTTTCAAGTTGCAGGGGGCTAGAATTCAGGGCTCAGGGGTTTGGGGTTTAGGTTGTCTTGGGGTTGAGGGTTCAGGTTTTTGCGTTTTTGCTTTATTTGGGTCTAGTGTTGAGGGTTTAGGGTGGCGGGCCTGAGAGTTTTGGGCTCAGATGGTTGGAGGATTGTCCTTGACTCTGGAAGACCAAGGTTTAGGGTTCCGGATGAGGATCTAGGCCATTGAGGCCCTAGGTCGCTTTGGTAGTTGTACTCTGGCCATGCATCTTCGTTAGAGTGCTTTGTCATCTTCAGGGCAAGCCTGTCCCGGCAGCACGGTTTTCTCGGCGTGGATAGGGTGCATTTGCCTTCAGGCCTCGGGGCTGCGCTGATCGTGCTGACGGCCGTGCTCTTATTCCTGCGCCTCATCTGCGGGAGTTGGCTCAGGGTGTTAGTCTCGTGGCGTGCGTTGAAGCCCATCGCTGCTCTCCTAAACGGCAAGCAAACCCTGCTATAACACATCCTGCAAGGCAGCACAAAGGTGATTGTATGTTCCTGTAAGGTACATGTGTGTCATCTTTCTGGAGACCCAGGAGAACACGAAATTCCACAACCGGGACAGCTGCCGAATAGTAATCCCTGTGGACATCGTGTGCTTCGATAGACAGGGAATCGCTCCTTTGGTGTCAATGTTATACCAGCGGAGCAGGGCTGAGCCCATCCTTGCGGATGTTCGCGCGTACAAGCAGAGTCGAAGATGGTAAGCCTGCTGATCGAGAGGAGAAGCAGGAGATCTTGTGGGTGGTCCTGGAGAAGGCAGTACCTTCCTGGCCTTGCACGTATCCTAAACCTCGCTTGGATGCGGCGGTGTGGCTGAGTGGTTCAGGGACCCATCAACATCTGAGATGCTTGACAAAGCCGCACAGCTTTTGGATGTCTGCAGCTTGTCAGTAAAGTTTCCTTGAAGATGAAGGTGTACAGCTGCGGCACGGTCCTGCTGTACTTCATCAACCTCCGTGGCTTGTGCAAGTCGCCCAAGGCTTCCCCTGGATGCCCACATGCGTCGTGGAAGCTGTGAAGACCTTTAGTCGGTGTCTACGTATACTCCTGACTAGAGAGGTGTTCTTCCACCAAGCTTGCCTTCGTGCCGAGCCGGAGATCAAACTCAAGGAGCCCTGATGAGCCCTGTGTTCTCATCATGCCTTCGACCAACAAGTGCGATACCATCAGGAGTTCTTGGAGGAGTTCAGCAGCAGCCGCAGCGAAGGGTCCGCCACCTTTGGAACAAGAATCGCATACCCCGTAGATGCCGTCGTGCCTTTGAGGCTCGTCCAACAGGTTCGCAACTTCCTCGCATGGCTGGCGCAGCGCTTGGCAGGGGAGGACCAAGGGTCGGAGTGTGCTAAACTCGAATCTGCAGACTCTAGACTCGGCGCGCGGGACATCAGCAGCAGAAGCAGGACCTGAAGCTCTTCCTGCAGCTGGGCAGCCGTCGGGCCTTGTTCCCAAACCAACGCCTGGCGCCGATTCTACATGTCGTGTCGTGGCAGGTTCGTGCGGAAAGAGGGTCGGAGAATCTTTTCCGGCATTTTCATTCGAGTCTGCCGAATCCTGGTTAAGCTATCAAGACCGGTAACCTTGCGTGACCGAGGTAGCGGGCCTTCTTCTTTTCGGTATGCTGCCCGGCATGTGCCAGTTCGCGACCGAACGGCTCTTCGTCGATCCGAAGTTCGTAGATGTGTGACCCGGCATGCGAAATGATCCGCAGCCCTTGGAGTGTTTTACATCCAAGCTCAGTCAGCCACTGCTTTTAAGTAGTTTTCCGAACCTTGGACTGACGAGGAGAGCGTATTCGGCCACGATCTTTCCGAGCTTCAACCCCAACCGCAGCAATTACCTGCTGCTTTTGGACCGCGATCCTCGCCTCCAGGTGAAGACCAAGTCTCGTCATACTTCGTTCCCGGGACAGCACTTCACAGCACTTCTTTTATACAACGAAATGTTCACAACCCATGATATTCCATATGTTTAAGTACTATACGACTGTCAACTGTGGCTTTGCCTAGCCTGCGAGGAGCATCAAGATGTGCTGCTATCCATCCGACCAGCCCTGTGAGAGCCGCCGGTTGCATCACTCCCTGATACAGTTCGATGATGATCCGATCACCCTGAAAGTTCCTGCGAACGAGTCGTCAAGTTGCACGCTCACAGCGTCAGGCGCGGTGTTTCGAGTTTTGGCAAGCCAATGATTAGCACGCGGATCCCTCACTCCGCGAGCATTTGCACGGATTCTCGATCCCGCCAGGTCTCAGCAGTCATGCCTCAGCGGTCCTAAAACTCAAAGTGGAGTTCCAAGCAAAGTACCAGTTGTGCGATTGTTCCACCAACAACGGTTGCGACTGCTGCGACGGCTACACTGGAGAGCTTGGAGATGACTGGGATCAGCTGAATCTCTCCACTGCATGTGAGCCTGCTCCTTGCAATATCAATAACTCGAACAAGGCTAAGGGCTGGGATTGCGCCTGTTTGCCACAATATGTCGGCAGCATTTCCTGGAAGGGCTCCACCCCAAAAGGGACATGTTCCGTGGCTCCGTGCGAAGTTGAGAATTCCAACAGGCAGGCAGGCCCGCAGTGCAAATGCATGGATGGATATCGTGGCCAAGTCACTTGGAGCAACAGCTCGGCGGAAGGGCAATGCCTGCCAGCTGCGTGTGAGGATCGAGTTCCGAATTCCACGGGGCGTGGTCTGGACTGCAAGTGTCAATCCGGTTTTGCAGGCCAGATCCGCTGGAATGGATCTCGTCCGAGAGGCTCCTGTGATCCCGTCCCGTGCAAGATTCTGAACTCCAACCGGAGAGCTGGCCCTGGCTGTGCATGTCGCTAGGTGAAGCAAGGTCTGAGGTCTTAATTTGGGTCTCAGGGTAGGCAGCTCTCAATTTAGTGCAGGGTGCATATGCACTTGGAGAAGCCTGGACTTGGTTGGGTCCGGTCGGGTATCGATGGGTTTCGTAGATTTTCCGGATCATGGTGCAAGTAGCAAGCTCAACTCAGGCTTAGATGCCTTCATCGGAAGCATCTTCTGGACTGGCGCCCACGCGGAAGGAACCTGCGAGCCAGCGTCCTGCGAAGACATTCTGCACTCCACCGGGCGAGGCGCTGAGTGCAGGTGCCAAAACGGCTTCGCAGGAAATATTACTTGGAAGCGGGGAAAGGCAGCAGGCTCCTGTGAGCCCGCCCCATGCCACGTCAAGAACTCGAACCGAAAGCCCGGCCGCGACTGTTCTTGTCTCCAGGCAGAGAGTCCTAATTACAGGGTGGGGTCCTTTCAAGTTTGAGAAGGTGAATAGTGCGTCGTGTTGCCTTGGATCTTCGGACTTCCGACTTCTGTCGCTAGGTGTGGGTGCGTGTGGATATTCCGGATCGTGCCGCAACAAGTTTGATTGAGCTTGCCACCTGAGGCTGAGATGCGTAGGTTTCAGTTAAAAAACAAGCTCAGCTCAGGCTCGGATGCTTTTGTGGGAAACATCTCCTGGACTGGCCCGCATGCGGAAGGAGCCTGCAAGCCAAAGCCACTACCTTGCAAAGACAGCATTCCGCACTCTTATGGGGAATCCCCCGAGTGCCTCTGCCAGGACGGCTTTAAAGGAGTCACTCCAGTTGTCACTGGAGTACGGATGTTGAAACACTGTAGGCCGGCACCGTGCGACGTTGCGGGGTCGAACAAGCTCCAAGGGCTTGCTTGCGCTTGTGGAAGAGGCCATTTTGGCCACGTCCGGTGGGAGGGCGATAATGCCGAGGGTGCATGCCGGCCCCTTGGATGCAAAGGGAGACACGCTACAGGATTCGGGGATGAGTGCCGATGCAAGGATGGCTACGTTGGCACAGTTCGAAGATCGAAGAATGTCAACTTCAGCATAGCTCACTGCAAGCCCGCACCGTGCGACGTTGAGGGGTCCAATTTCCGACCAGGATGGAATTGCTCTTGTGCAGATGGATTTAGCGGGTCGGTGAGATGGAACAAGGACGAGTCCCGTGGCCGGTGTAAACCAACGCCCTGCACGATACAGAACTCCAACCTGGAGCCTGGACCAAAATGTCGGTGCAAACCTGGGTTTGAGGGCAATATAACTTGGAATGGCCCGTCTGTCTCCGGGCACTGCGAGCCAGTACCTTGCGGCGTTCGAAACTCCAATTTCGGGCTAGGTCCAGCGTGTCGTTGTGCAAATGGTTTTTTTGGTCTCATCACGTGGAGTGGCGCCGTCGCTTCCGGAACATGCGTGCCTGCACCTCTCTGTTCCAGCAGCATTGCATTCGTCACGCACCTCAAGGCAGATCTGGACCCCAGCAGTACAAGCAGCACTTCCTGCAAAGCAGGGCAGGCAGTACTGGCTCGAGGCCATTCAGATATTGAATTCGGGCGTCAGGCTATCACTTGGACCCTGGCGGAGCCTATACCACAGAATTCTTGCCACATGCCCAGCTCTGCCGTCCAGATGCTGGAAAACACTTGGTCATTTCCGGTTGGGTGTTCCACGACACCAGCCCGACCTCGATGCTCCTCAGACATCGTGTACCCGATCACCGTCGTCAATGACTCACGGCACTCTTGTTCGAATTGCAGCTTGGATGGGTATGCTCTGGCGGAGTTCCGGGGTCGGCGTTGTGGGTACGACCTCATCCAGTGGGACTTCTTTACTGTTTCACCTGGCTCGTCCGCGTCTTGCGACTGCTTCTTGCACCTTGAGTGTGGTCAACCACCTACTGACGAACTTCCACGATCTTGTAGCCACTTCTCTGAGCCTGCGGTTTTGGAGTTCATGGAGGACCGAAATACGGCTTGAGCCGCAAACGTTGCTCCAGGTCCATATCTAAACCCCACAAGCCTCGACAATACCTCAAACCCTAACCTGCAAACCACGCTGAAGCCCTGAGCGCAAAAAGGACACGGTCACGTGGATGTACATGCTTTTTGACAACGGCGTGGCATCTTTATCCAGCCTAGACTCGGGCCTAGACTGGGGCCCAGACCTTAGTGAATCAAAACCGTTTATGAATGGTCGAAAGCTCTGTCTTTGGTAAAAGGCTGTTGGCTTCAGCTGGCGATCTTGAAGCGGTGACTAGCTGTGAGAATTTGTTAGCATTAGTTCCAGACATGGTCTCGGCGGACATTGTGTCTGTGTGTCTATGTATTTCTGCTGCATTAACTGACTCTCACGCTTCGGTTGGAGCGCAAGATGTATCTAAAGACAGTTTAAACACATGCCAATTGCTTGAAGCTTAGGAAGTAGGATCCAGGTGGGCGAGGCTGTCGCTTTCGGAGCTATGTGTTTCTACTGTTCTCAAGGTTTCAATCCTTTGTTCGAGTTGTTGCACACGGAACCTGTTTCGATAGAACGATGCACATCGCAACGCCAAATTATGCTCACCATCCGAGGTGGCAACGCTGAGTGGCAGGCAAAGGACGCTGCTGCTACTGCTACTAGCTCACCATCTGACGCTTGGTACTTTGATGGCGAGTGCCTTTCGGTGCGCAGAGCTCCTCCATTTAGCGACTGGATAATCCGGCTCGTGATAAACGACGGCTCCGTTTTCAATTCTACCAAAGATGGATTGGTGAGAGTTGCTGGGGTGCCTCCGCCGTGGTGGTCATATAACTTCCAGAAGGACGCCACGTTGCCCGGTAGCTTCAATGCAGACAAGTTGCTGGGGCACAAGGTCGTGTTTAGCTCCCTCGGTGTCTGCTACAGCGCAGAGTTGGGGAAGGAGTTCTTGACAGTCCCTGCACAGGGAGATTGTGCTTCCCAGGTCTTCGCCTCACATGCGGGCACCAGGTACATGTACCTGTCTTCAGCCTTCGGGATCCAAACCTACCGTTCCGAGCGCAGCTGTTTCCCTCTCGCAGCCTTCGAAGAGCTGCAGCTGGAGGTGGTGGATGTTACAACAGCAAAGGGAGACGACAACTTCACGGTTTCCATCTCTCCATGCCGAACCTATGTCCGCTTCGTCGTGGATGCCGAGCCCCGGCAGTCGCATTGCCGAAGCATTGGCAAGGATGACCCATGGCTCGTTCCGACATGATTGACACGGCCTTGTCAACGCATAGCCGAAAGAAGCAGGTTTCGATTTTGCTGTGCACGCTTCCAGGAATAGTAACACGTAAGAGCAGCCTGCTTTGTTAAGCAAACGGCACTTGACCTGAGCCAAATGTGTGGGGATGTCCGTGCCCTTTTGCCAAGAAGAGGAAGCTGGTGTTATAATGATGTGGCTGTGACTGGGTTTTGAATAAAATCGGGATGTGTTGTAAAGTTGTATCCAGGGGTTCGTTCTTGGACACGGCCATCTGGGCACCGAGGGCACGCGACTGATGAGCAGGCTGAGAAGGATCAGAGTCCCTCACAGAACCGGACCCTTAAATTCGAAGCATTGCGATCAGGTTGCGCATGGATGTGGATTGTGGCACAAGCACGGCAGATGTATGATGACAACCGCAGTTCGGGGGCATATTCATGAGACGCTCATAGGCCTGGATGAAACTGGCAGCAGCCTTTATCACATGGGGCTCTGTGTGGCTTTATGCAGCTCGAGGTTGATGAGCACCACTGACCACTGCAACACACGTCACACTCAACACCTGCGTAACCAAAAGCTGCATAAGTCGATGACGAAAATGCTTCCTAGGCGTTCCTGACGCCTTGCAACTTGCCTCAACGTTCTCTAGGCCAATCTAGGCTTCCTTTGGGTTGAAAAGTCTTTCATGGCCATGCCTCCAGCAACAACGCTGCAGCCAGGCGGCCGGTGCAGACCTTGGGGATCTTACGTCTGTTCTGCCTGATCCGAGCGCAGGCATTGGGGAAGCTGCTGCAAGAGGTCTTGCTCGGCTCTCAGGTTGGCTTAGAGTGAAATCCATTTGGATCGTTTTTGGCCCCTATCCATCTTAGACTCAACCAAGGAACGCCGTGCAGCAATAACAGCAATGATCCTCATGAACATATCAGATAACTGTAATAGTAGCAGCTGAGTGCTCATGGCCAGTAATTGTTGGGTGCTCTCTACATGGTCAAAAATTTTCGTTGTGTGGGCCCCAAACTCCAAACCTCAACGGCTTCAGTGCAACTTCTTACTTCTTGCCATGTTCAGCTCAGCCCGAAGCCTAAATCCCAGCTCCGAAAACCCAAGCCACGAGAAATGGCCTCAGCGCGTTAAATGAGAACAAGCATGGCAACAAGCAAATAAGATCTCTTCAGCGGTAATGTTCATCATAGCAGTCCTGGCAGTACAAACACATCCAGTATCTCAGTGGCTGCAGGAATAATGCTTACACCAACAACGTGTTTGAAGGATGTCAGTAATGACAGTACACGACGTTTGGTTTGGTTAGAATCCCCCGATTGTATTTTCCTACACAGTGCTACTCCATCACGTTGTTCTTGTCATCATGAGTACTTGTTATACAGTTCCTCCCCAAAGCGCCTGGCTCGTCGACGCTGGGGCCTTGCATGGGCATGCCGGGACCGAGAACCCGACTAACCCAGTTGATTCTGCGGCCCTCCATTATTGCGTTGCGCTGCATGGGAGGAATGGACTAGCTCTTTAGGCGTCCGTGAAGTTGAAGTTGTGCTGCAGTGTTTGCTCACATTTCTCCTCGATTTACGGATCTACGCATGAGGCATGCAACAACGGCATCATGCAGCATACTGTGGTATACCGCAGTTCAAGACCTCGCAAGCTCATGCTTTTGCGAAGTTTGTTGCTATGTTCCACCATTAAATGCCCCCAAGGTAGGAAAACATGCTGGTGGATTCGTGCAAAAGACACAGGCACAGGCTGGTTTTGACTATTTGGAATGGCTGGAAGTCAGTCGGATTGGCTTTTGGCTGAATTTGAGAGCTTGAGATTTGCGGGAGAGAACCATCAGACTAGACTTCAACAGTGTCCCAGACGGTCAGACGTTGTGCCAGGTGAGCGATCAGCACACACGGGGCCCGCATTCTTTAGTCTGAATGCGTCCGACCAGCTGCCCAAGAAACAAAGATCGCAGCAACGATGCGCCCGGAGAGATTTGGGCAGTTTTCTTTTAAATTGTGCGCATTTGTATTCAGGGAGGTTATTAGGTCCCATGAGATCGAGCATTTATTTTGCGAGTGCAAATTCATGTAGCAAAAGAATTATTATTAACCAATAGTAATGTTTGATTTTAGTCATACGGGTTTATGTATCATTGCTACGCCTGTTGTATTCTTACATTATAAATAAGTATTAGTATCTCCATACGATTAGGTTTTGAGGAAAGTTGAGGCTGGGGTTTTGGTTTCTGGGTGGTGTACAGGTTTTGACGATTATCGGATTCGTGATGAAGATTTAGTAGATCGTAATATCCGGGCGAAGAACGGTACCTAATATAGTTGATTTGTTTCTAAAATGGGTATATTTCCTTAATTATTGACCATCAGATTGGAAACCATGCAACATATGGCAAAATGTAAGCTTTCTGGCTGGCTGTGATATGGTGGTGGCTTCGGGTTCTACGCAAATCCAGGCCCAGTTGTAGTGAAGGGCTTCTGGTCGTAGTATCGGGCTTCCGGTTGTTGTAATATTAAGTCGCGGGGGGGAGGGGGGAGGTCTTCTAATATTAATCTACTATTCCTACCCCCTTTTCCCTTCTTTCCGATATACTACAATGAATACGAATATTTAGATAAGGAGCTCTTCAGCCGAGAATTAGTTATCTAATTTATCTAAAAAAAAATATAAATATATATATATATAAGAAAATGAGGCATATGATAATGAAGATATGCAACAAACTCGAGAATTGATATTGAAGTTAGAAACGAAAATTTGCACACGAAGCATCCAAAAACTATTGATTATATTTGATTGTAAAAATATAGGCTTCCCAACTTCTTCTTCTTCTATATTTATTATATAAATTTCTCGAAAAAAATAATATTTATGAGATTGATTGAATTCTATTTCAATTCAAAATGATGGCGAATCCTTTCTATTCGATATTATTTTTGATAGAGGTTGAATATATATATGAGCATTGATCTAAAGGTCTTTATGTGGGATTTATATAAAACGGTTTCAACATGTGAAATAGAGTATCTACGAAAGTTCCGTGATGGGTCTGCGAAAGGAAAATAATAATCTGCGAAAGTTCTTAAATAATAGATTTAGGCTGTATAGGACTTCTAAGGTATATGCTCTATAAATCCGTAGGTATATAGGGCGCAAATTCGTTATCTTACTATGCCGCGATATAATATACCTAAAGTCAGATCGCTCGGCTGCTAGCCTATAGACTGTGGGATGGAGTGGGGGAATTGGGCATGGTCGTGTTCTTTATTTAGGGCCTCTGCGCTTCAAGGATTAGTCTTTCTGACGTATACTTATATGCAGCATCAATGTTAGAAGGTATATTTTTGTGAAATCATAGTAGTTTAAGCACGAAAGATCCGATAAAATTACACGAAAGACGTCGCGAAAGAAATTCCACTACTACTATTGCTACTACTACTACTACTACTACTGCTTCTACTTTGACTTCTACTTCTACTTCTACTTCTTCTTCTACTTCTACTTGTTCTGCTACTACTGCTACTACTACTTCTACTGCTGCTACTACTACTACTATTACTGCTCGTATTACTACTAAACATATTCCGCGAAAGTGAGGGCGAAAGTCCCGCGAAAGGAAAACAATAATCCGCGAAGAAACCATTTCCAGAAACAGGAATATTGATC